AAAAAGTGCAAGGAGGTCTTCTCCGGCCTTGTTTCTATCCATGATTTGTGTTGGGGCAAGAGGGGTGTTTTCTTCCAACTCGTCAAATGAGCTAATGGCCTTTGTGAGGTTGTCCTTATGTGATTGCAGCCGGCCGAAATGTTCTGCATTCCAAACTTTTAACGCAAACTTGAGGGATTTGAGCTTCATCATCAAACCATGTCCAGGCCACCCAACTGAGGGGTTGTGGCTCCACTAGCTTTCGAGAAAAGGAGTGAAAGATTTATGAGACAACCACATATTCTCAAATCTGAAAGGAGTGGGACCCCAATTGTTTTGGCCAAAGTCTAAGAGGATAGGGAAGTGATCTGAGGTGGTTCTGTCCATTCTTTTGGCCAAGGGTAAACCGAATCTGTTGATGCATCCGTGAAATAGAAGAAATCTATCAATAAGGGAGAAGGATCTGTTGTTGGACCATGTATACTTCCCGTTGCTCAAAGGGATATCCGAAAGACCAGTAGTCTCAATGAAGGAGTTGAAGAGCCTCATGCTTCTAGTGAGGGGCCTACCATGAGATTTTTCCCAAGACCATCTGGAGACATTGAAGTCCCTGCTAAAATCCATTGTTCCTCACAGAGGAAGGAGAGATCTTGAAGCTCTTTCCAKAAACAATGGCGGGTCTCTATGGTAGAGGGACCATAGATGCCTATGATCCAAAACGAGAAGCCATCAGCAAGACAAAAATTAATTGAGAGAGAGAGAAAACACCTTCAATGATCTCAGCTACGGTGAAGTCAGGGTCGTTCCAAAGAAAAAGAATCCCTCCACTAGATCCCACAGCATTGAGGGTGGACCAGTTAATCCCATGAGAGCTCCAAAGGGACTTGATAATGAAGGGGTCGACAGAAGCGAGTTTTGTCTSTTGTAAAATGACAAGATTTGGATTAATACGGGAGATGGACTGCTTTATGAGGGCTCTTTTCTTCCATGAGCCCAAACCTCTGACATTCCAAGAGAGAAGCTTCATTTAACAGTAGATGGCCCCCCTAGTATAGTCTTCCTCTTCTCATAATTGATGGTGGAAGAAAGGTTCTTTAGTTCCCTGGAACCAGCTTTATTTTTATGTGGTTTTGGTTGTGGTATGTGCGGTGGGATCGTCGGGGGGATAGTCGTGATGCAAAGGCCCATCTCTTGCAAACAATTGTCGAGATATTGCTTGAAGCGGTCAGGGGAGAAGAAGGCCTTAGCCATATTGCTGTCAACAAAGTCTATGTTCAAAGGGTCAGCAGTGATAGGTTGTTCAGCAGAGTCCTTGGGTTTTGGTAGTGGGACAGTTTTGGGGGGAGAAGAGGTTGGTGGGAGGAGTTAGGCGTTATTCAAGCACCATCACTTGACCCACACACCTTGACAACAAGATGAGTTTTGGAAGCAAAATAATAATAATGATATGACTAATTGGTAAGTAATTAAAAAGGTAGTTTCTTAGGAGACTACCTCAAGAGGGGAGGTGGTGTTTGAATAATCTGGAAATTTACAATTTTCTGGTATAGTTATGTGGTTCTTATGAAGGGGGCTGAAAGGACCCCTTTCTAGAGGACTCAGATTAGGAAAAGAAATTGATTGGAATGAGGGCCATATAGTGGCTTTTGATCTTTCTAGAACTCAAAAGGACAAAGTAGTACAACCTATAAAGTAGATCCTATACAGGTAAGATCSTTAGCGTTTTTTGATTCTAATGGATGCTTYAACGATGTTGAGTTTCCTCAGTGATATGGAAACCTTTAAATGGATCTCCATCACAAATTTGCTTCTTAACACAACTCTCACCTCTAATAAAGACAAGTGGCCAATATTAACAATTCAACTAGTAACTTTAGTTGCCAATAAATGCTGAAAGTGCGATTTGGAAGGGCTCTTATCCCAAATGAAATGTAAATATTTACAAGGGAACTCCTTATGATAAGTATACACACCAGTAATAAAGTCAGAGAAAGGAACCCTAAAAGCTATTTATCCCCTAGCTAGTGTGCATTGCGAAAAAGCAAACAATTAAGTWCAAGATCATCTTCAGCCCCTCAATTTTGGCAGACTGCACCTATTCCAATTGATCCACTACTTTCCCTAACAAGACCAAAATTCTTCTCAGCTTTGAAAGGCATCCTTAAAGAGTTAGAGTCATAACCTTGTAGTTTGACTTCATCAGAGCTTTTTTTCTGGACCTTTTGGTAAGAGAAACAACAAACTCTTATAGGAAAAATAAAGATCGTTCTCCATTTCCTAGGAACATGCTATTTGTATTGCTATGCCTTGGTCCAAATTGTCAGAGCTTTTTTGTTTGACCTCAGATTATACTAATTGGGGGGAAAAAATCATAGCTTCCTTCTTAGCTTTGGTTGAGGCTCTCCTCCCCCAGTTTGTTTTTTATCAGAAAAATGTTCTCATGGTCATTCTTATATATTTTCTCTATCAGAAGGAGACATTTTGAGTATCAAAAGTATTAACATTTATGCACAATGCCCCATATACACAAAAGGAATTTAGCTCCTTAGCCCTTTACCATTAAGCAAAAGCTCCCACTTAATTTTAGACCCATCACATTTTCATTGGCTAAAAATAATCTAATTCAAATGAAAGTGGGACTCATGCATATTGTTATAATGGCATCAATGAGAATGTGCCATGTCAAAAATAAATAAACAAATAACTGGCTCCACACAATTTTATGGTTAAATTTCCTACAAAATCATAAGGATTGAGTTGAAGTCCAAAATTATAACATTGATATGTCCAATAAGACATAGGAGTTATAGTCTAATCTATGAAGAAGAGGAGCCTAAATTCTCGACTCCAATTTGTTGCACTTGTGCTGGGCTAAGAGGTTCTCTACCCACCCAATTCTAGGTCAAGAATTTAGCCTTGTACCAAAGCCCCATAGAAAGGTTTAGTGTGTTTAGAATGCCTTTTCAAGAAAGTATTTTGAAGTGAAGCACTTATTATATAAGTAAGGTAACATTAGTTAAATGCTTTCTCTAGAAGCACTTTAAATATTTTTTATCCATTTTTAGAATTTCTCAAACAACTTTTGGTTATCAAAGAGTCTTTAATCGGCAACCAAACACTACAACCTTTTCTTTTTTTTTAGGAGTCAAGTTTTGCTCCCCTAAATCCAGGGCACCCGCGCCAGCTCCAAGACCCGGACCCAGGAGACATCAAAAATTCTTTGTATTAAACTCATYCGAAGGTTTGAACTTGAGACCTCTATGTCAGTATGACCAAGAGACCTAAGTTCTTGCCAATGGAGCCATCCCTTGGTAGCCAAACACTACAATTTTTTTTCTTTTGATAAGAGAAAACACAACAAATTATTTAAAAGCCACTCTTAATATTTCCCAAGMAATTCACAAGGCATACCATACAAACACTTATAACAGAAGTTGCATTAACCAAGAACATAAAAACAAACAGAGMTAGGCAAAGCATTCATTTCACAACTTATTCAAGTTCCTCATTGGATTACAAATGAAAATTTCCCAAAATCTTATGTACCTGGCAGGGTCATCCTCATCATTGTACTTCAGCCCTTCAGGTGAACAGCCCTTGCAGCCATCAATTCCATGTCCATCTTGAGTTGTTTTGTCTGTTGCCTTCGCCACTCAGCTCTCTCCCTCCATCCTTCCTCCAACAACTCCACAAACTTATCTTTTATCTCAAGCAATGGGTCACGATCAATCAGCTGGTCACCCTTATATGCTTCTCTGAGCATCCCCGTCCCAATCCCACCCTTCAACGACATATAGAATATCCCAGAATGCCTTGTGAATATGCTGGAGAATGCGTTTGAAAATCGATACTCATCACTAAATTTTCCCAATATCGGCACCGGAATCCTCTTGTGTAGCGAAAGCGATAGCAATTCGTGGAAAACTGCAACTGTTCTCTTCTCCATCTCCGGCGAAGCTTGGGCCAAATGGGTCACGTCCTCGTATGGTGATATGTAGTCTAGCTCTAGCCAATCTCTAACCCATTCCCTCATTTCCTTCCTCAAGATGAATCCAGGAGGAAGCTTGTAGTCAAAATTGGGGCGAACACGAATGCCTGTTAATCTGGATTCGTCATCGGCTCTTGTCTCGATTACTGATTTCGAAAAATTAGGGTTTCGCGAAACCAATTGAAGAAACGATTTGCCTTCTCCGGGACTTCCAACTAGCTGAAAATATTCCGGATACTTCGGCACCAGATTGACCAGAAAATCATTCGGAAACCCAAATTCCCTCTTCACATGCACCAATTTATCAACGCTAAGCACTTTATCCTTCGATATCATCAATAATTTACACAATTTCGACACGATCAACGCTTCGTTTTCGGTCGTAATCCTCTCCTCTTCTTYGAGAAACTCCCTAAGCCGATCGCTCGCACGTATAAACAAAACGGGTTCGGATTTAGGTTTAATTCTATCATAGTAAGTATCAAACAAACCCGGATTCCGATTCATAAACGTCTCGATTTTCACATTGAGGCGCAATCTCGGCCGTCGTTTTTCCAGATATCGGAGTGGAATCACTTGGCCTGGCTCGTTGAGAACCTCCCTCACGACCCGGGCGCATAGTTTGTACCGCTTGTCGCTCTCGATGGCTTCGTCCAATCTGGGATCCTTACGCCAAACTACCTTCAAACTCGAAATTGATCTGATTTGGAAGATAATTTCTGGGCTTATGGAAGACGACTGAGCAGATCTGAAGCTGCGCAGATAAGAGAAGAGCGTTCGGGGCGTGAAGAGCATACCTCGAAGGAGGAAGCGAACTTTGCGACGGCGGAGATTCCGGCGATTCTTGGGTCGGCGACGGCGAGCTATCGCAACTTGTAACTTGTAAGGGGTTTTTGAGCAAATAACCGGGGAATTGCGAAAAATAACCTAAAACCTTTTTTGTGAAACTGACCCATGGCAAGCTTTTAAAACTAGAAAATTGGGCCTAAWTTTTTGTGTAGATTTGTCCCATTTTTTGAATCTTGTTTTTCTACTCTTTTGCTGAGTCACTTATTACATGAAATTACATCTCTTGCGCGTCAAGTATGAAAATTCTCTTCATACTTGCTTTCAAGTATTAATGCACATAATACCCAAAAAAAAATTATAAAACTTTACGGATAAAACTTGGCTCCTCATTAGTAAGCAACATTGTCCTTACCAYCCTTAAATATTTGACAATCAAGAGAGAGAAATGCAAAAGCAAAATTTTATTTTAAAATATAATGAGTTGTCAAATAATCAATGATGGTAAGGACAAGGTTGCTCCTTACCGGTGAGGAGTCAARTTTTATCCAAATTTTACTTAGATCAAAATAAGTTTGTCCACATCTAGAGGGGARGGGGAATTGAAGAAAGAGAGTGAGCTGAGTAAGCGAGAGCAAGAGTGAGGGAGGGAGAGCGACAAGATCTGAGCGATAGCATAGCAATGAGATCTGAGCAATAGTAGCGAGACTCAAGCGATAGTGGACGAGATTCGAGCAAATAACAAACAAACAACCTCATCCCCATCTCGTCTCCCAACCAAAAAAATGAAGACAAAATTGAAATAATGGAAAAAGAAGTATAAATTGTGAAGACAAAGTGCTAATCCATTGTCGAGAAAAGAAAATAGTGAAAAATGAATGTGATTGAGAGTGACAACGTGATTGAAAAGTGATTGAGGAGAGTAGCGAAGAGTAATTTCACGTGATAAGTGACATCAACAAAAAAATTAGAAAAACAAGTTTTTTTAGTCGGACAAATTTCATTAGTCTAAGATTTTTTAGGTCATCCTATCAAATTTCCCAATTTCTAACCTCCACGTAAGCTTTTGTAACCCTATCTCAATTTTTGCAGTTGTGAAATTAATAGGATGTCCTTAAATTTAGAAAATGTTGTTTAAGGCTTTTTTTTCCGATTGAAATACAAAAATTTCTTCAATTCTTTTCATAACATCTCACTTTTGAGAGTGTATTTTAGGTAACTGTGGAAATTGTAATAGTTTTCTAAAATAATTTAAAAATTAACAAAGAGATAAATGTGATTTAGATTCTAGAAACATGTTTTAAAATGGAAACATTCATACCATCTAAATTACAATCGACTAAAAAAAATTGATCGAGATTCGTGCTAAAAATCCAAGATTTATCCCAATCCCTACATTAGCTTCATTGGAACTAACGAGGAACTGTTTGATGAACCTCAAGTTAGGGGAATCCGAGAGATGATTGGAAAAAGTTGCTTACTGAACCGATATTTATACAGATGTCATTTGTGGTCCATGAATGTCCGGACATAGGAAAGAATAGAGAAAATAAAAAGCTCTGATGCTCAAGTTAATCTCGATACGATTACCTGAAAAGTGAGGCTCGGGACTCTATTTATAGGTGTTGAGCTTCCGACAGCAATTGAGGAGCGGTTACATACGATGTGTTGTTGGAAATACAGTTGAATGGTTTTGTGATACAACTCATCCTTGTTAGACGAGCTACAAATCAAGGATATTGAACTATATCTATGGCCGAGCTATGAAGCAAAGAAAATCTCCAATAKCAGAGGTGAGCTCTATAACCGAACTAACTCTTATGGCCGAGGTGAGCTTCATGACCGAGCTATCTCTTATAATCAAGGTGAGCTTTATGGCCGATCTCTCTTATGGGCGAGGTGAGCTTTTATGGCCAAGTTAACTCTCGATGTGAGTTTTATGGCCGAACTAATTCTTATTCATCCACGTCGTTTTTATCCCCTAACAAACTTCATGAAAGTCAGATAAATGTCATATTGATTGAAATTGCATGAATCTTTTCACATATCTTCCATCAGGATTTGAAAAAAAAAAAAAAGATTCAATTTGACCCTAAACTATTTCTTTAACTCTGCATTTGGAACCTCTGACACATCTAATAAGTAAGTTAAGATAAATTTTGTTATAAATTAGCAAGTTTTGGTAATATTTTTTTTTACTACAACGGTTATAGTTGGTCTTCGATGAAGTTTAGGATTTTAATATCGTTGATTAATTTAGGATGGAAGGCTTAATAAAATTAGAGTATTGTACCTTTTATTTAACTAAACAACTATAATAAGATTAGGAGTGAGAACTTGTACTAGTTGCTCATCTAGATGGACGATGGAGGAGCTCTTGTGCTCTTAGCCAATAATTGAAACCTGAACATTAGAAGTTAGATTTACACTTCTGGTGGCGTTAGATGGAGAACTTTGTTGTTTAAGATTAAAATAGATCACACCTGATTTTTTTGTCAAGTGAGAAAAGCAAAATCTCTATCATCTGGCGCAAGTTTCTCTGCATGTGGCTCGTCCGTGATAACTTCTTCGGAACCCTAAATTCTCTTTTCTAGGCTCATCGATATTGAATCAATCGAACGTGGTAAACTTAGAGGACACCCGCCTCCTCTTCAAACGTGTCCGTCGAAGTCTTTGAAGACATAATAACAATTATGTTACGAAACTTGTTCCTTCGAATAGTCATGAAGAACGAAGAATTCCTTTACGCGTCTAGCCTTAGATGGAGGATCTTGTTGTTTAAGATTAAAATTTTGTAAGAAAGAATAAAAAATAAAAATAAAAAGGTTGCCAAATGCAATTCTATTTGTCTTTATTAAAATAGAGAAAACAAGATATGAGAAGAAAAAAAAAGATGAATAGGAACACCAAAGAAACCCGTTCATTCCAAAAACATACATAAATGTTATTTAAACAGACTTATAAAAAACATAATAGATAGCTAAAAAATAATTATAACATAACAAAAACGTGAATAATTAATTTAAAGAATTATTTTTCATAATAAAATTAAAAGATTGCAACATTTATATAACTTTACAATCAAATTCAATAAAATCAAAAGCTTATCATAAGAATTAATACACCTTGTCGATATTATGAGAAAATTTTGACCTTATTTTTTCCTTAAAAGTAAGTCTTTTTAGCAATAATATTTATTATAAGTAATTTGGTAGAACATGATTACAGGGTCTGTTTGATAACCGTCCTAGTTTTTGGTTTATGGTTTTTCTTGTTTCTAGTTTTTGATTTTCTGTTTTTAAAAAACAAAAACCATATATGTTAATAACGATTTTTTGTTTCAAAACATGTTTGGTAACATTTTTTAGTTTTTTGTTTTTAAAAAGTTAGAAAATTGAAAATACATATTAGAGAGATAAAATTTTATGTAAAGTAGAGATGACAATGGTGTGGGTGCGAGTGAGGATGCTCTCCCCCATTCTCGGGCTCGTAAAAATTTTTAGTCTCCGTTCCCACCTCGTTCTTGGGTCTGAGAGATGTTCTCGAGAAAAATTATCGGTTCTATAATTGTTTTAAATTATTTTTAGAATTTAAGTATAAAAATAGATGGAGACGGGGTCCGGACATGCATTTTCTATTTTTGGGACCCGACGGCGACCCTGCGAAATTTTTTATCTTTTCTTGTAGAAATGTGAAAATAGAGATGTAAATAAATTTTAGAGAGATAAATAAAAATATTTAGATAAAAAAATAGGGAAAGAAAAGTTAAAAACAAAAACAGAAAAATTTTGGATAAAAAAATAAAGACAATAAGAAAAGATATGAAAAAAAAAGAAATTATAAAGAAAGAGAAAAATGACAGTGAAAACTAATTTAGAGATGAAAACAAGATTCAAAATATAATTTTTATAGAAAATAAATAAATACAAAGATAAATAAAAGTTACAGAGAAAATAAAATATAATTTTTAGAGGAAAAAATAGATTACAAAGAGAAAAAAAAAGTTATAAAATATGAAATTTTAGAGAGAAAAAGTTTGGAAAATATTAAATTTTTAAAGAAGAAATGAAACTGATCCGTTAAAAAAACAAAAATATAGAAAAATTTGGAGAGATAAAAAAACAATAAATATTTAAAATATAAAAATTTTAGAAAGAGAAAAATAAAGTTTGTGGAGAAAAATTTAGAAATAAAAAATTTTAGAGTGAAAAATAAATTTTTTAGAGATAAACATGAGAAAGAAAAAAAAAGTTGAATATTAGACGAAAAACTTTTTTTTGAAAAACAAAAACCTCTCTTTGAGAACTACTTTTTTCTTTTGTTTTTGAAATTTACATAGAATTTCAAAATGATTTTTGAAAAACAAAAAACACAAAATTGAATTGGTTATCAAACAACATTGTTTTTAAAAACTAAAAACCAAAGACAAAAAACAAAAAATGAAATGGTTATCAAACGAGCCTAAGTAATTCTCTTGGTAGCTTAGAGGTCTCATAACATTCGACTGAACCAAAAATCGTTGATGTATACTTAAAAAAAAAATTCTTCTTTTCTTTCAAGTCTGGGCCTTGGGACAGATGCAAATGCCACTGGATATAAGGGGCAAAGCCCCGACTCCCACTTATAAAAAGAAATATATAATCATTTTGATGTTTGATTCTAGACTCTTAAAAATGTTTTAAAATATTTTGAGATGCTTTTTGACATTTTATGAAAATACATTTACGTGACTCTCAACAATGATATTTCTTAGTGAAAAGTGCTCTGGAATAATTAATATAATTTTTACTGTGTTAAAACACTCTCAAACTAACATTTAAGGAAAATTGAGTGAATTTTTACCTAAATTTTCCAAAGTTAAGCCTCAATTTTTTTTTTTATAAAATTAGTGAGTTATTTCATTTTAAAATTTTATAACATTACTGAGAGATTTTAGGTTTTGACCAAGAATTTTTTTTTTCTTTTTAGAAGAATTGACCTATAGAATACTAAAACCTTAGTCGTTAAGCTATATTAGTATATTTAACCTAGGTTGAAGTTAGTGAGTTCTAAAATATCTATCAAATCTTTAACTTGGAATTAAAAAAAATATATATATCTTGAAACTAGTCAAGAAAAAGTTAATATATTCAATTGAATATCTAAAAGTAAAAATTTAATATTCTCCAATTTTACGGTAAAATTTAATATTACAAAAAAGTTAAGCTATAAGTTTGATTTTTTTTTTTTTCCAAATTCACCTGCCGTTTTTTTTTTTGACACAGCCATTTTATACTGTTTTTATTTGTGTTTAAGGTTTGTGTAAAAAAAATCTTATAAATCTTAAGAAAACAAACAAAAATCTGCTAACATTAAAAGTTTATATACAGTTTAAATAACTGTTTTAGCCTACTTATGTAGCTCCCTTGTATTAATACACTTGAAACCATATTATCTACTTGTTGTAACAAAAATAATAACAATAAAAAAAGTTTCTTTTATAATTAAAATAAAATATATCTTTTGAAAGTTCATCAACTATATTTTTTAGTACCATGACCTAATAATTAAATTTAAACTTTTGTTAAAACATTTAATGCTAATGATTAGAATTAACGTCTAAGTATAATTATTGAACTCTCTTATACATAATAAATAATAAAATTGATACGGGTTTAATAATATGACTCAAAATAAACCATTTTTTTCATTAGAGACTCGGAATAATTAAGAGAGATAAAAATAAAAATAGTAAATATAAATTTTGTTTAAAAGATTTATATTATTTTAGAGTGGTCTGACTAATAGATTTATTTTTTTTTAGAAAAATAAATATGAAAGGTAGAAATTTTAACTTCAACTTTAAACGTTGACCCGGTAGATTTTTATGCAAACTTCAATAATTTATTTGAAAACGATACTTGAAAGTTGAAAAATCAAAATTGGTAAATTTTAAATATATAAAACTTTAAACTTTAAATATATATATCCATATTGATTTTAATTTATGGTTAAAAGAACAATTTGCCAAACAAAATATTAAATTATTATTATTTTTACCACATATTAAATATTGTTTTTTTAATGAAAAAATAATAACATACTAACTTTTCAAAAAAATATTAATATTAATAATAATAATAACAACATACTAATATTCTTCTAAGTTAGATAAATTGTATTCTTAATCAGCTTTTATCTCTTCACAAAATCTTTTATTTTTAAAATCAAAATCGAATGATCTCATTTCAGATTGACGATGCCCAGTTCCTTGCCTCTTAAGTAGCCCGCGACTCTTCGTTTCACACAATCGATCAATTTTTCCACTCTCAGGATTCTGTCGATCCCGATCACTGGTTAGTGTTCATCAATTCTCTTCCATTTTCGCCAAAAAATTGGAAACCCAACTCCAATCGACTGCATTTCATCTCGTTCTTATTGAAATTGGTTGAATTACGGCTTCCCTCTGTGCCTTTCGTGTTAATTTCTGCACTCAATTGTTTTATAATCCAAACGTATTGAATTATCATGTGAATTTCTAACTCTCGTTGGAAAATTTATTTGTCTCCTGCAGATGATGGGTTTCCAGAAGGTTTACGAAGTTCTGAGCCAGCTATTTCCTGAGGTATAGCGTTGACATGATTTTGATCAGTTCCTTCAAAACTTGTTAATTGAATAATCAAAATTTATGAAACTCTGCTCTTGGTTTGTCGAAATCCGTTCTGTTTCTAATTTTGTTCTTTTTCACTTCATTTTCATCAGGTTGATTATCGGATTCTAAGGGCTGTGGCCCTTGAAAATCATAACGATGTTAATGAAGCTGTTAATGACATTCTCATAGAGATTATCCCTCGTTTATATGAAGAAACCAATTTACCCTCTAAGGATACTTCTCTTGAGGTTGCATCTAACATAGAAGGTATACGTTATTCCCAATTGAAAATGTCTGTTAAGAGAATTACTTATTATATAAGCACTTCTGAAAGAACATTAGTTAAATGCTTTTTCTAGCTTTTGATATGTGTGTTTGGAATTAGACTAAAAAAAGTACTTTTGGTTCTCTAGAATCGTTTTAGAAGGCATGAGAAACACACACTAAGTATCTCTTGGTTACTTTTTGTTGAATTTATGTGGAACATGCAGTTGAGAATAAAACGAAGTCGGATTCTGAAGTAGGACTGAATCATGTAGCACCTAGAAACTCAAGTGGTTTGGTCTATGAAGATCGTGATCATGAACAAATTCATCAAATTGGCACACACTTGAAACAAGTGACTGAGGATATCGAAGGGGATAAGCAATTATTTGATGGAGTTGATGGAAGCTTGAATGATTGTAATTCTCATCTTATTCGTGATTCGAACACCATGCTCGTGCAAGAATTATACAGCATAGAATCGCGTCATGATTGCTCTATTCCTACAGTACAGGATTTCGATAGCCAGATTGCCAATCCATCTTTTGAAAATCATTCACCGGTTCAACCTGAAATCCAGATTCTTTCAGAACCTGATTATCAGAAATCAAATGCAAATGACACTTTGGATCCTAGTCCCAAGCAAGAGTGTTCTACTGTTGAAATGAGCGAAAATGGAGATAAGTTTATGGGGAATAGTTCCTTGATCACACAATCAGGGGAACTATGTAGAGTGGAACTTCTTGATGAGATCATCGAGGATGCTAAGAGCAACAAGGTAATTATTGAAATTCAAATACGGTTATGATCAATATTTTGGATCATTTGCATAACAGAGCCTTCAGTATATTCCTTTAGTTTTCTTGGTTCTGTTCATTTGGTAGCTTTTAAATGACAGCACTTTGTTTTGGTGTGTCATTTTATTATTGGGGTCATTTTTTAGCCATTTGTCAAGGGGAATTTGACATTTGAAACTGAGTGCTCAAAAGAACATATTTGCTTGCTATCAGTTGTTTCATATTGCAAAAACTTTGTAGTAATCTTTATAACATGATTGACTCACCTAAGTTGATTAAGATATGAAGGAATCTTCTAGTTATATATTAGTTGGCCACTCTGTTTAATTGCAGTTGTTTGGTGGATTTATATTTACATTTTGGAAACTTTTCTGTGTCTGTTCTCTGTGATGTTTACTAGCAAGAATGTAGAAGATTGGCATGGCACAGCTATTGGTTTTATGCCTATGCAAATAAAATTCACCCATGCTATATTATTAGTTTATTTATCTCCCTGTATGTAATCATGGTCATTAAGGAGGTAAAAGGCTTAGAGAATGAGTTCCAACCACTATTGCCACCCACCTAAGATTTAATATCCTACTAATTTTCTTGGTAACAAATATAATAGAATCAAATGGTTTGTGCCTTGAGATTAGTCAAGGTGTGTGCAAGCTGGCCGAACACTCACGGATACTATTAAAAGTAAAAATTAAAAGAAACATATGTCATAAGAAGCCGTGTTTGAGGTTAGGCATGATCGAAGATCTAGCTGTGAGGACTGTAATTATGCATGGGAATACTGCAGAAGTTTAGCCCTAGACTGCCATATTAACTTATAGCAGAGCAATGTTCTTCAAACTCATTATGGGCTTTTATTTGGCTCCCAGGCCAAACTTACTATGGTTAAATGGGTTAAAGCCATTATTTCAGAACTTTAGTTGGAGCGAAATCAAAGTATCTTTGAAGCATTGGTTGGATCGTTGTGAATCAGCTAAGTTAAAGGCATTGCAATGATGTGCTCTTAGTTTTTTTTTCGTTCTGAATATTCCTTGCAAGATATTTATATGAATTGGGAGACCTTTATTTCTCCCTTTCCTTGTTAACTTGCTTATTGTTATTTTCTCGTCCCTCTTTTGGAACTTGTATTTCTAACTTTTGTTTCTTTTCATAATTGTTTCTTGTTAAAAAAAMGCGGGTTGTGTTATTAGCAATTAACTTTTTCTGCAGGTATTTTTATTTTCAGCTATGGAATCAGTTATTGATAAGATGAGGGAATTGGAACAGAAGGAGAAAGATGTTGAGAAAGCCAGAGAAGAAGCTGCCAATGGAGGGTCGGAAATTACAGCCAAAGTAGAGAAACTGAAACAGACGGTAGCCCAAGCCATAGAAGAAAATGATATGGTGGGATATTTTCTTTCTTGTTTAGATACTATATGGGCACCGTATGGATTATGTGCTTGCCCTTTTCAATTATCGACTGAAATGTCTTCTTCTTCTTCAGCTTGCAGGAGAAGTTTATGGAGAGAAGGCGATTTTAGCTACGGAAACACGGGAACTCCAATCTCGTCTGCTCAGTTTGTCAGACGAAAGGGACAACTCTATTTCGATTCTCGATGAGGTGTTTCTCTACTTCAATGATATAAATTTTTGGTTACTATCTTATCTGAGGATCCATGTCTTGTGAAATATCTGTTCTGTGGGAGCCTCTATAAAAAATAACAAACCGCTTAGTATTATTTGCATGTAACATGTTAGATTATTTTATTTTCTTAGGTGCCCTTTTGATAACTTCTCTAATTTTGATTTCTAAGTAAATTTTAGAGCCACACCAATCAGGTTTTAGAAACATATTTTTTATTTTCAAAATTTCCCCATCTTTCTACTCCTCTCTGAAGCTTGTCTCTCTCTAACATTTAAACTTTAACTTACTGGTCTCTCTCTTACATTATTCTCTTCAACTTTTCTTTTAACACGTATCTCTCTTTATAGTTCATCTGTATGTTTCTGTCTGACATTGTTAAATAGTTTCAGTTCTTGTAGACAGACAAAATATAGAAAACATTATCCAACATGTTTTGATTTTTTTTTATTTCAAAAAAATTAAACATAGGTTATCAAACATGTTTTTTTTTTGTAATTATTTTTTTATTTTTTACTAACAGAAAATCAAAAACAAAAAATATTATCTTATCAATGAATAAGTATTAAAATTCTTTTTATCATATAGATGCAAGCAACTCTTGAAGCAAGAATAGCTGCAGCAGATGTTATGCTGGAAGCAGCACAGGAAGTAAAGTTAGCTAAGGAAGAAGAGGCACGAAAAGCACTTGCTGAGCAAGACGCTCTCATGCAGAAGCTAGTCGAGCAAGCAGTGACACTACGACAGGAGGAAGAGGAGAATTCCAAGGTAACCGACCATAGTTGAAAACGACTGTCCTTTCGGGGTAAATAAATAGTTGATTATTGATGTTATTTCTTTCTGACTGCAGTTGCGGGACTTCCTAATGAGTCGTGGGCATATAGTCGACATGTTACAGTAAGTTTTCATCTCTACAGATACAAGATACGGATATGAAACGGACATGGTGATACATCATTTTCTATAAATTTAGGACACAGACCGGGCAAGATACATTTATTTAAAAAATTCTAGGACATGGGTTGGGATTAATACATGAGAATGTTTGAAGCTTTGGTCCTATAATACTATTTATATTTATTTTTTATAAAGTATTCAATACGTGCCTAACAAATCTTGGACAAAATGTTCAATTTGTGCAACTAGTGTCTTAACATGTCTACTATGTTAACAAGTGACGGATACAGACACATTACCCGAATTAAAGTGTTTGTTCACTTCTTTACATGGTATATTCGCAGGGGAGAAATTTCGGTTATTTGTCAAGACGTGAGGCATCTGAAGGAGAAGTTCGACAAGAAACTACCATTAAGCCAATCCCTTTCCTCTAGTCAAACAAGCTGCATTCTAGCTTCCTCAGGTTCATCTCTAAAAAGCACGGCTTTCAACTCGGCTCTCTTTTGCTTACCTTCAAATGACATCCCATCTGATTTGGCTTATGAGAAAGGCGTGTCGCCTACTACCTCAAAGGAAGGAAGCCGAGCATCCTCTGTTGGTAGCTTGTCGTCGGAGTCTCTTGAAGAAGGAGGAAGAGAAATAAACTATTCCAAAGCGTTTTCAGATGATGGGTGGGATGTGTTTGACAAAGATGCTGAGTTTGCTGAAGCTCCATATCTTGTGGATGCAAAAGAATAAAGACTGAGGGAATTGTTAGGTTAGTCCCTTGCCTTTAAATTCTTTTTCTTGTTCAGTTTTATTTAGATTATATTTTTGGTAGTTAGCAGACCAAATAAAGTAAAATCTCTTGTACATAGATGAAAACTTTTCTGAAGGGTTGAAGTCTTCAGACTTATTGGTTACTTTTGTTTTGCTTCAGTATATAAGCCAATGGATTTGGATATTAGTTTTTTTTTTGGATATTGGAGTCGGTTTGGATTGTTCTATATGATCATATTTATGTCTTCTCCTCTCCAATTCATCAGTCATGCTGATATTGGAATATTCTTTTTCATTGTTTAATTTATTCTTTTGGAATTTGATTACGATTTTGTTTTCGGTTTTTCAAAAATATATTTGTTTTCTCCATGCGTTTTTCACTTTTCTTAGAGACGCTTTTGGATTCTTAGCCAAATTTCAAAAACCAAAACTTTAAAAGGATCTTTTTTAGTTTTCAAATGTTGACTTAGATTTTAAAAACGCTTTAAAAAAGTAGATAAAAAAACAAATAAAAAGAATTTATTAAAAAGTATATACATAGATGGAAGAAGTGTGTAAGTTTATTTTTAGGTAGAAAAATACTTTCGGTTCCTTTATTTTTATTAAATTAGCCGGTACCTATGTCCGAAAAATCGTGAGTTCGAAATCTTACCCCAAGTTGTTTGTTACTAAAAAAAAATTATAATAATGATTTTATTTTAACAATTTATTCCTTAATCATTCTTTAGATTAAAATCTTAGTCTCTACTCGTAAAATCTTGTTAAAGAATAACACAGGTTTCTTTACGTATACATATCAATAAATTGCTATGGCACCAGACATGCGTGTAAACTATTCTTACTACCCTCATGTGGTAGAGCTACCGGTGATATTAGGGACTAAGGTGATTTTCCATCTTAAATGTTTTGCATGAATTAAATGGTTAAAATTTAGGAATTAAATTATTACAGGTGATTTAGACCCTAAATTTTTTTTTTCAAATGAGATCTATTATTGGGGTTTTATTATTTTTTTAAAATTTCAATTGATTTGGTATTACTACGTGACAAAATATAATGCCATCAGCCATGTATAGTAGTAGGAACAAATCTACCGAATGTCAAAAGTAATGCACAAAAACAATTTGGTTATAACTTTGCTTTAGTTCCATACTAATTTAAGGTATTATCATTGAACATGAAATTTAAGTAATGTTCACGAGTTCAAATAAATCCTCTCACATACAATAATATCTTTATTCTAAAAAAATAACATTATTAATTATAAACTCTTGTTTCCGAGATTTTTTCAGTCGAAAAATGATTTTTGAAATTTGAAGTTGATAAATATAAAAGTTAATCTATCTCTATTTATCATTAATAGTCTCCAAACTTAGTCGTAAATGATACATAAACATTATGAGGTGGTATATTAGTATTAGAGAAAACTTCTAGTACCCCGGGAGTACTATACTCCCTCTATTAAGCTATTAGGTAACTAAGCTACTAGGTGGTACCAAAAAGTCTGCTAGTGAATCGTAGTTCAACTAAAGTTTGACTTGGAAGCAAGATAAGTTGCTAGTTGTATCCAACCAAGTCAAACAAGAACCACCATGCTCATTTTTCGAAGACCAATTAGTTGAGACTAAAAGTCACTAGGTGGATTGTAGCCCAATTAAGTGAGAATATAGTTTAATTAGGTGCGGCAATAAGCCACTTAACCCAAAGCGAACTATATCTGATCAAATGGCATATTCAAGACGTAGATGAACCGTAAATTGAATTCCAACAAGGTGAAACTAAAAGTTACTAGAGAAGTTGTTGCTCAACCAAATTAGGCCAAGAACCACTACAAGATTTTTGGGTTTTTTCAACACCAAAAAGCGTCGGCATAAATCCGTCGCAATAGATTTTGCCGACGCTTTTTAGAAAGCATCGACAAAAATCGAATATGCCAACGCTTTGAAAAATGTTGACAAATCTCAATCTTTCCCAACGGTTTTGCCAAGGCTAAAAGCGTCGGCATAGATGACATACTCCCACCTATATGGTTAGTAGCCTAGCCGCCTTAAAATAGACCCAACGCGGCTCTATGAAGTCATATAAGAAGTTCATCCTCATGTCAAGTGATGTGATGAGTAATGTGTTATTGTACTTTATACTTACCTATTTCATTCGGTTGCAACATTGATCTATCCCACACAACGGTAATTTCATCTTAACGAACTAACCAAAACACGTGCAACTTACACGAAACGTCCTTAACAAGTCACAACTGAAACTATGACCGATGATCATCAAAGGTGAATTGTGACTGTGCGTACTTACTAACAACCGATATAGCTAGCAATATATATATATAACCAAAATCATGTCACTCTTATTACTTCTCCATCTTCCCATATGTACAAAAAAGATGAAAAAATCAACAAACTAATTAAGAAAAAGCCCATCTTGAGAAATAGAGAGATCAAAGGGTTTGAATTGATTAATTATCCCTCCAAGAAAGAAGAAGAATTGCACATCTCCATATGATATAAAGCCTTCCTTTGTGTTCTCTCAAGTGCTTTGAAACTTGGCCCCATGAACACCTCTTTGACTGCTCCTCTCCCTTTGCTGCCTCCATTGATCTCACGAGAGACAAGAGGTTCTCTTCTTTGGTTTTGTTAATTTGCTCAAAGTTTGAGCTCTAAATGGGAGATTTTAGGGTTCTTATATGTAGAGCTTTCCTTGTCTCTCTATCACAACATCTTCCAAATAAATCTTATCGAAAGGTTGACTTTTCGTCGATAATCTCATTACGAAATCTGAGCCATCAATAAGAGTTAACATGACTGACCCACATGAAAAATGAAAACAACTAGGCAAGAAAAAAATCAATTTGGAAATAAATGTTATATTAACAAATATAAACCAACCATTCAAATATTATGTGGTTGGCTCGATACCTATCGTGACCTTTCACACGTGTGTTGAGTTCTGGTCAAATATTAGAAGAGCAAATTGTCCAACAGCGAAAAAGGTAAAAGAAGGGAATGTGCTGATACAAATGCTATAAAAGGGGCTCATACCATTGGATTTTATTCATCCCAATTGAAACACTTCAAGTCTGGTTACTAGCTCCAGTGAGTGATATTTGCTTTGAGAGAGTACTTTGTGTAATTGAGGTTAAGGAGAGAAATTTGTGTGATTGTAATAATTTTTAACATAGTGAGATTTTCCTTCATGTGAAGCTGTGACGATTTTTCTCCGATTTGAAATTTTCCATGTAAATTCTTGTGTTTTCTTTTAATTTCTCAGTTATGTTCTACTTGTCATGCATTAGAAATAAGGATTTTTACTCATCAAATGGCTAGAGTTGTCTCCTCCTCTCCTTCAAGTAGCTCTCTTACTCATGCAATATTAATAAATATCTGCTTTTCAATTTAAGATACCATTGAGTCAAGCAGCTCCAAAATGTGTCAAATTACTTATTGCACCATCAACTTTGCAATTTATTTAAGATTCTACTCTTTCCTTTTCATGCTGTTCAATGTCAAACTTATTACATTACAATCCTATAATTAAGATACTCTTTCTCATTCTAGGTTGTAAGTATCAAAAGTATATGCAACATCTACTCTAGTAAGCTCTAAATGCCAAAGAACCTAAATTTTGGTTTAAATACTTTTTTTTTTTTTTGAAATCAATGTCTTGTAATTTATGCTAGTGGACCGCTATAATTGAGGTTCATTCCCTTGGCTGAGCGCTACTGTGACCAACATACGTAGGATTTCACTTAAGAACTTAACAGTAGGTGGATACCTCAAAACTCCATGCGCTTGCCACTACGTCATTTCCTAGAGGATAATTTTTTCAACTTACTATTGAGTCACACACACTAAAAAATCTCTCGCTCTCACACACGCACGTCATATATATTCGTGTAAAATGACGTGAAACTTATACGCTACGAAATATCTACGATTAAGATGCCATCGAGCCATTTAAGATGTCGCACAAATAAGAGGGTTTGAAAGGGATGTGAAAGCTTAGACTCAAAACATACGGTGGCTGAGAGAATGTTGGTTGGCTTAAGTGGATTACAAGGCAGACAAAGTTGTCTCCTTGGACAAAACCCACTTGAGAGTGACTTTTCATTGAACCATTGGATGGCCATGCCTCTCATTCTTCTGTTCATGCATCTTAATAATGTTCCTTCTAATGTAGCCACCATCCCTAGGTCCGACATGTCGGCCATTTATTGCCTAGAGAGCCTTTGCATTATATATTCTACTAGCCCTTTAATCAAAGTAATATATGGTTTTGTTTTGTTTTCAATTTGTAATATGTTATTTTCTTAAGATGTCTCAAAATGTTCCTTTAATCAAAGTAAGGAGGAAGAAGTTTATGATCCAATTTTCTCAAAGATTTAGAAATTCTCGATTTTGTCGTACGACTTTGAATCCTCTTCATCCTTGACTTTGTTAAATTATTTAACGTAGCTTTTTTACTTCATTATTGCAACTAGCTATCTTAAAGTGGGTATATTTATGTGTATGTATTTAAAGTTGTAGCGTGCTACTTTAATGTAATGTCATGAACCTTTACTAAAAGAAAAATGAGTAGTAGTACTGGTTATATAATCATGAAGTTAGGAATATGGATACTTTGCATCATTGATGAAAAATGAGTAGCAGTATAAATGAAAAAGAAATGAAAAAATATAAAACAATTAAATACAACGTCTCGATCATTTAATTTCCATTACAACAATTTAATAAACATCATCAAAGGGAATAAAAAAATTGACTCCCATCCCTTCATTCCCATTCCCTTGAAACACATGGCCGTAATTGAACTTTTTTTTTTGTCGGAAGTATATGTCAATTACCACTATGCTTCATTTGAATTAATATTCGACTTTATTGATATTTCAAATTTACTAAATGCTCATAGAAGCTATTGGCATTTGGCATCTCTCCTGAGTGTTTAATTCAAGTTCGATATTTAATATTTCAACAAAAAAAAGAAAAGTGAAACTTTGTAACCTAAAGATTTAAGTTAAAAAGACCAAAAACAAAAAACTTTTTATCCAAGATGATTAAAAGTGAGTTTGAAATAACTTTTGAAAAACTTAATTTTAAATGACACACTCCAAATTCAAATCAAGAACTATAAACTATACAATCAAACTTCTCAACTAATGATACAACCATAAACTAGCAAAAGACCAATTGATTCATCCAACCTTCCCCCAACTTGACTTGTCAAAACAAAAGAAACCAAATGATTAAAGTTCATATATTTAAAGACTAAATTACAATAACCTACATCAAATCAACAATTTATACATTTAATTCACATTACAGAAACATAAAGTTACTTCAAATACAAGGTATGTTTCCTGTTCAACATTGATCATAAATTACTTTTTTTTCTCTCTCTTGCAAAGGAAACTTGGAATTCCATAATAATGCACAACCTAATACCAAATAAACAAATATACATATCCAAGTAACCAACTCCAAAAATCTTACACTCGCAGCCAAAAAGGAACACTACTTCCCTTCCCTCTAAATTCAAGAAAAGAAAACACACACAGACCCCTTGGATTATTACTGCTTACATGATAATTACAGCCAAAGAACAGCAGACCTCTACCATTTGATTATATTCTATTTATGCCTTCAATTAATTTAATTCATGTGAACTTACATTAAGTATGAGGTCAGAGGCCACTCAAGCGACTTCCAATGCTTTTTTGATGTCATTCTGTGGCAGAAATAGGGAAAAGCCACATCAACAATCAACAACTGAGCAGTTTTATTTTCAAAGCAATGAGTTTACGGGGCTGTTTGGGACAGTACCTCAATTGCCAATGGGTTGGTGGTCGGGCTGTAGCGATTGATGACAACACCTTCCTTATCTACCAAGAACTTGGTGAAATTCCACTTTATCCGGCTGCCCAAGAATCCGTTGCTAGTTGCTTTGAGGAACCTATATACTGGCGCTGTGTCTGGCCCGTTCACTCGTACCTATAAGATTAAAATAAGGAAGTATATGATGCTGAACTTTCAGAGGAAAACTTATCAGATTCACAATCTTTAAGGGGCTGCTTGGAATTTGTTTTGATTTTGAAGAATTTTCAACTTTTTTTTCAAAAAATATTTTAGAGAATTATGATTGAGTCGATCACAAGAGTTTTGTACACTTGAAATCATGATTTACTAGTCCATGATTTTAAAGAATGAACAATTTTAGTAGTTCCCAAAACCTGGTCATCCGTGAAAAGGAACTAAAAGAAAATAAGAGATAAAAATTGGTAGCAGAAAATTGTTCACCCGAACAGCTCCTAACTCGAGTACCATAATTATATGCCATTGAAAAGCAAGTTCATAAAATCTGATCAATCTTACTTTACACCAATTCTATCTATTGTGATAGCTTAGATAAAACTCAAAGAAGCTGCTCAAACAAGGGCGCAGCAAGCGAATACGGGATTACAGAAAACAATCACTTCAGTCTCGTTAAACGGTGAAACTTTGTTATAATGGATCAAAACTTTTCTTAGCAGACACAGGAATGGAGTATTCAAAATCTAAAACAAGATAGTTAACTCTGTAGACCACTGTTATTAGCACGTAATCAGAAATATGATTTTATTAACACTCAGTAAAAACCAAAAAAGCATAATCACCTTTTGGAAGATTGGATATTCCGCCTTGTATCTCGTACAAGCAAATTCTTGAGCATCCTGGCTGGTTCCAGGCTCTTGCTTCAAAAACTGGTTGCATGGAAATGCTAATATTTCAAATCCTGAGGACAGCAAATGTATACAGTGAAAGAATCAAACAAAATGAACGAACAAAACCTAAAATGAGAAACAGTATGCTTCAATACCAAAACTTAATTCATGGAGAAAAGGGCATTAATTTAAAATTATTCTCTTTTTGTTTTTTCTTTTCTTTGCACAGTTATAAAGTGAAGGGTCCAAACCATTTCACTTACAATTAGGAAGTGCTTACAGGGTAGTTGATATTTTAGAATCTGCCAAAGTGAAACTGGGAAGAATGGAAAAATAAAAGGAACCTCACAAAGAACACCTTTTTCAAGATATATAGAGAAAAACAGAGAGAATCCTCCATAGAAAGCTTTGTCTCCAAAAAATGTGAGAGTTCTCTTGCTCATTTTCTTCTCTCCCATTCAGCAAAATTATTTTTTCAGAATTCCTTTCATAGAAGTAGAACAAACCATTTGTGAGGAAACTTAGGTGCACATAAGGTTTCTTGAAAAAGGTTGTTGTATCTTGTGAGGAGAGTGTTAGTTCACTTTGTGTGTGTCCCTCTTAAAAGTGCTTACGAAAAATCAAAAGTGTTCTTTTAAAAATTTTAGTGTTTGGTTATAATTTCAAAGAGTGGTAAAAAGTACTTTTAGCAAATTTAAAAGCACTTATCAAATTTTTCGATAATCAAAAAGTAGTTTAAGAAATTCTAAATACAAAATAAAAAAAGTACTTAAAAGTGGTTTTAGATGAATTATTTGATCAATTTTCTTCCAAAAGTGTTTTTAAAAAAATACTTTACTTAAAAATAATTCTTGAAAAGGCATCCCAAACACAGTCTTAGTGCAACTAGATTTTTATAACCCTTGTTTTCTGATTTTCACTATTGATTTTGTTATCTCTTGTTATCATTAATGTGCTCTCCAAAACTCTTGCTCCATCATTTGATATTTTTCTAACATTACATATATATCTGCCTGTGCAGTTACAGACATACTCTTGGCTCTGTATCACATGCGTACTATTGAAATAAATTCATCAAGCAGAAGCAAAAGCCAGTTCATTTTGGAAACAACAAAGTAATAAAAAAAAGGGGGAAATGAAACCTAGATCCTTGCATCGGCTGTAAATCTCAGTCAACTGAGTGTAATTCGAATCTGTAAACCCACTGTTCAGATGCGAAAAATTCAACAGTTAACCAAACTATCCAAGACCCACACAGAAATCCACAACAAAAAACAAAAAAAGGGCAACAAAACAAACCATTTGGAAGCAACGTTAACCACAAGAAGGACCTTCCCCTTGTAGATACTCAGGTCCACGTCTTTGCCTTTGAAATCCTGCGCCCCACCAGCACGATTTCATCACCAAAAAAGATCCTCAAGAACAACGGAGGTCCCTCGGAGAAAGAGACGAAACAGATCGAGACAAAAAAGGAAAAAGAGAAATTAGGGTTTTATTGGGGAATTATGTAACCTTGACGATGAACTCGTGGATGGATTTCTCGGCCACTGATTGAGAAGCCCCCATCGATTTGCTCCTCTCCGCGGCGATTGTTCCTGTTCAATTTCAATTTGATAAGAAATTGGATGATACAATGGCTCGCATTTCTCTATCTTCCAATTAAATTTTTTTTTCCGTGTACAGCAAATTCGGGGTTGGATATGTTGATGCTTAGCATAGAAATAATTTACTTTTTTTATCTTATCTAGAACCAACATGATTTGAAATGAATGTAATTAAAAAAAAAATTAAGGTTTGCAGAAAGGAAAAGAAATAAAAAGTTTATTGATATGAATTTTTCATCTTAACTTATTAATTAAAAATTAAAATATGACAATATTAAATAAGTAACTTATCTATCAAAAAAAATTATCGGAAAAATTGTTTTAAAATTGTTGGGGTCAAGTCTGAACATTTGACCTGTTTAAACCATCCCAACGAGGCTGACCTAACAGCTCAGTTTTGTCCACTTAGCACGCAACTAGGAACGAATTGGTCAATGGCAAGAACCGAAGGTCGCTCGGGAGAGCCCTACCCGAGTAGGGCAATACCCCAATAGGACGACTATCTACCCCCTTGACCGCTATAAATACACCACCACCTTCCATGTCCAAGTATGAAATCTGTTTGATACCGATCTGCAGAGCTCGGACTCTATACTGACATAGGCGTCAGAGTGACTTACCTCCTTGTAGGTACCTCAGGAATTGCTCTAAGTGCAGCCGACCGACCTCCCAGATTGTCTTCCGTGTCTCGACAGATTTTTGCATCAAAGGATAAATCGACATCGACATTTAAAATTTTGCTTTCTACCCAACCCAATCCCTTCATTGAGCTTTTTCTATGATCTTCATTTTCACAGTTCTCCGTTTCTCTTCAAACATCATTGGCACACCTTAGTTTTTGCACCAAATCTCCATCCATGGCCAAGTCTTCTAATAACATTCTTCTGGCTTACTATTATATTTTTCTAAGTACAATAAAGGTAGCAGTGATGGAGATTGAACCTTCAACCTCTAAAGAAGGAACACGATGTTTATGTTAATGTTAACTTTAAACAATTTTAGTCTTGAATTGTTAATGTCAATCGAGATTGTTTTCTTGAATTTTCGGAGACAATTCGAGTCTTCTTATTTTCTGTCTGATTTTGCTTCTAATCATTATATTCTACATTTTAAACAGTATAGTTCTGGCAAACATTTCAAGACTTAAAGTTTGTCATTCTTTAAAATGTAATAAAATAACTAATTAAAATGTCATGATTTCATTAGTAACAAAACAAATCCACTAAAAAGATAATATTTCTGAAAGTTAATATAAGAAAATGAAAATAATACAGAGGGCCACCCATGAAAATTTTCCATAAATGCCTTTGAGAGAAAAGAAAAAAACTCCATAAAAGCGGGGCAATCATCTCTTCTTTTTTTTTTTTTACAAAAACAATCATCTCTTCTTTAATCCTCTGTCTGTGGAAAAAAATAAATAAATAAAAACAATAAGGTTAAAAAACACATTCGGTCCCTATACTTTCATTAAAGTTACGATTTGCTCCCTGAACTTTCAAAAGTAACGATTTAGTTCCTGTACTCTAAAATTAGTCACGATTTAGTCATTACCGTTAAAAAATAGGTTAAGATTTAATGGAATGCTGATGTGGCTTTCATTTACGATTTATGTGTACAAATTAAAATCCATATGACGAGTTGGTTCAACATCGGTTCGATTGGTTCACATTTAAAACGGTTTAGGACTTCAAAAATAGAAAAATTGGACCTTTAATTTGAAACCTCTCCAATCGCTTCCCAGACTTCCCTTCCCCTCTGGACCTATGACAAGATTTCGCTTTCCCTTCCTCAATCTTCGACGCCTTCCCGAACCTCGCCTGGGGAGGCGGCTCCGTCAACACACACCTCGACTGGACGAAGACGCTGCACGTTCACATCCTCAGGGCCGTCCTCTCTGCCTTCGATGGAGAAGAAGGTCTCTCTCACCCACGATTTCTGCCTCTCCCACGCACGAACATCTTTTTCGATTCTTCAGAAGTCTTCGCCTGATAAGCTACGTGGTATGTACTGTGTGTTTTCTTATATGCACCTCCAGTTATCCTCGATGAGAAATTAAAATTACCTTTAGTTTGATTAGTTAGATTTTGACTTCATGGTAATGAATGAGAAATTTTTATTTTAGCAAAGAGAGATTTTGACTTCGCTCCTTTTTTTCAGGTTCATCCCATTTCAATTTTTATTTTCTATTTTAGTGGTGCTCCTTTGAAATCGTTGTTGCCTCTTTTTATATGAACTGGGGTTATTTTTTTTTATTCTTTAGATTTTGTATGTTCTCCTATTTTTGTTCTTGCTCAACTACATGAGATTATTCAATGATTGATTCAATATATGGTGTAGAACCACAAATGAAACTCACAAAACCAGAAACTGCAACATGAATAAACAGCTAAACCTTTGTCCAAGAGGAAAACCCTTCATTCCTCTATATTGTTAACAAATTTTATGTGTAGCCATTTTCCTTACTAATTAACTATATCAATTAATATAAATGCATAGCTATTTTTCTTACAGAACTGCAGCATGAATACAAGTAGCCATTTTACTTACTACAAAAGTTGGTGCTAATGATGGCATAAGTGATATTGACTCTAGTGAGCTACTCTTATTAAAAGATTCGTCTGATTTTGAAGTTGATGTTATGACGAAATATCATGTTTATAGAGAAACAACAGATGACGAGAAACCATACGTTGAATTAAGCATGTCATTTAACTCATTGAGAGAGTTCAAGAATGTTGTGGATGATTATGCTGTTAAGGGAGGATGGCAAATACGATTTGTGAAAAATGATAAGACTAGAGTTAGAACTGGTTGTATATGGTTGTCTTATGTTGCCAAGGTACAAGGAGAAATGACTTATCAGTTGAAGACTTTTGTTGGTGAACACTCGTGTAGTAGGTCCTTCAGCAATCCACGCCTAACATCTAGGTGGCTAAGTAGGCAAATTGTAAATGATGTAAAGGAACAATCAAATATGAGATTGAGAGCCATCCAAGAGAAGGTACAACGTAAGTACATTTCACAAATTAATAAAGTGGAAGCTTTTAGAGCAAAGAAATTGGCTTTAGATATAGTTGTTTTAGAGCAAATTGTAAATGATGTAAAGGAACAATCAAATATGATTATGCTGTTATTTTCAGGGTTTAGTGCCAACCTTCAGTGAATTAATTCCAGAATCAGAACATCGCTTTTGTGTGAGACACATCTATAGCAACATGAGAAAGAGGTTTCCTGGAATGCAGTTGAGAAAGCTTTTTTGGTGAGCAACCAACACAACTTATTATCAGCAATGGGAGAGGGAGATGCAAGAAATAAAAAAGGTAGATGAAGGTGCATACAAGTGGGTGTTGGCCTTACCTCGTGAGAAATGGAGTAAGCATGCCTTTAGTTGCGGGTCTAAGTGTGATTCTGTGGTTAATAATCCATGTGAGGTATTTAATGCTACTATACTTGAATCTAGAGACCAACCAATTATTTCTTTACGTGAATGGATTAGAACTTATCTAATGAGAAGATTTCAAAAAAAAAAAAAATAGACAGATGATTGAAAAGTTTGATTGGGAGGTGTGTCCCAAAATTAAAAAGAAGATCGAGGAGGAGAAACTACATTGTAGGAATGGGTTACCTATGTGGGCTGGTGACTTGAAATTTGAGGTTAGAAATGGTTGTGACAAGTTCGTTGTAGACCTTGATTCAAAAACTTGTAGTTGTAGGAAATGGGACCTAATTGGGTTCCCATGTCAACATGCCATTAGTTGTATTTTCTATAAAGGGCATAATGTTGAGACATATGTTGATGATTGCTATAAAAAGAAGGCTTACATTGCATGCTACGAGCCTCTTGTTTACCCAACCAAAGGTCTAAACTTATGACCAAGTACAAATTTCAATGTCATTAGTCCACCACATCTTAGAAGAGCTCCCGGTAGGCCAAATAGTTGTTTATAAATTTCTAGCTGTACGAGAAACTGATTTGTTTTGTGATGGTACTAAGATTTTGTAAATGAGTATTTTTGTAATGACAAGTTTGTAATGACAAGTTTGTAATGACAGGTGGGGAGATTTTTTGTTTTGTAATGACTAGATGTGAATTTTTTTGTAATGACTGTATTAGATATTTTTGTGTCACATCATTTGAACCTTTTAAGTTTTACAAGTCTTGGTTCATGCAAATAAGCTAGTTTTGTTATATCATTCACACCACATTTCAATTTTAAAAATCTTGTCCCACAAAAAATAATGAACTATTCACTCTCAAAGATTACAAAAAGTCTTTAAAAATCTTGTCCCACAAAAAATAATGAACTATTCACTCTCAAAGATTACAAAAAGTCTTAAAAGGAAAGTTTGAAATACAATTCAAATGCATACAAAAATTTATCATTCAATTTGACAGCTTTTAATGAACTACAACAAGTTCAACACACAATACTTGAATAATTCATGAGGAATGGAGCTTTCAATTTCATTATGGAATCCGATGCAAACAATTTTATTGCTCAACGTCTATATCTTTACATTTAATTTACAAGAATATGCAAAAAAAAAAAATTGAAGTTTTTTTCTGGAGGGTGAGGGTGGTGTGGAAGAATGAAAGTGGTTAACTTATGTTTAACCTAATCAATCAACTCCAAGAATTTCGTAATACTTCTTCATCGCAACTGTCGCCATCTTCGTTTTCCTCCTCCTCTTCTTCCTTTTCAGTCAGATGACTCTTTAGATTTCCTCCTCTTCTTGGCGTTTTGTGAAGTTTTAGCAGCCTTTGGAGTTTGCTTGACAGTCGAAACTTTACTTTCCACTACTGCATGAAGAATAAAAATCACAAAAGTCCTGCGAATTCCCATAATAATCCTCAATCTTAATCTCACAACTTTTCACAGGTCAAGATGCTGCTGAATATCCTTGATAACCCAATAAAAACCAGACAATTCAAAAATACATATGTTGAATCTAAACATACCTTCATCAACAGCTTTGCTGTCGTGTATATCAAGCTATCATCAAAGCCACGAAAATTTGTAATCGAATTGGCAAATAAAGAGAATGCAAGCTATGGAAAATTGAAGAAGGTGCTCATGCCTTGAAGTTTCTCATCAAGTGGAATGGAATGGAATGTTTAAAAGGTATTGGTACGGCAATGACTGAGGGGAAGTCATAAAAGAACCTAAGGGTCGCTTGAAAAACCATCAAGGCAAATGAGACAGAACAGAGGAACTAGTGAGAAGAAACAAATGAAGGCATTAAAGCCTTCGCATGAGCTTTAGCTAACTCTATCATCTTTGATCGTACACGTTGCACATTTGCAGCTATTTCTTTGGATACATCGACCCAAGCCAGAGGCAGACCCATGGTATGTGCACTCTTATTGCATTAATAAACAAAGAAATAACTCATAAGTCAAGAACATAATGATAAGAGCGTGATTTTAGCAAAATAACAATTACCAATTTAGTCATGGAACTTAGAACTTAGATGTATGTGTCTATTTATATATACAAACTTTACAAGATTTCAACTGCTGCCTTGAATTTTAAACTCATAATTCATTCAACTTCTACCATAACACTGTTAACTAATTGTATCATTCTATTTTTGTCCACATGTTCACTTCCTTTTGGTTATTTGTCAATCGTCTCATGCTAATTAAACCAATCAATATTTGTGCATAGACACAACACATAATACCAGTCATAATCTGAAAACATAATGTCAACTTCTAAAATTTCAAGCATTAAACATACAGAGCTAGAGATGAAATTTGTAATAATAATTAAAAGAGAAACCAGACATTATTCAAATTTCTACGCATTCCTTCTATACTTAATGGTCCACTTAGTTCCCTCGATTATTTCACCATAATTATGCAAAATGCGTCCTCTGATTTTGTAATGGCGATTTCACACCTCTTGAACCAACCCAATTCCGCGTCTCTCTACTCCAAACGTTAATCACCTAAGAATCCAATTTTCTCATCCCCTTCTTCCATAAACGTGGTAACTGCTAACAGGCACTAAATCTCAATTTAGACAAGATCTTACCATAGCAAAACCATCACAAACGACATTTCACTTTCCACCATTAAATTCTCAAGATTTAGCCGGAACAAAGAGATTTGGATCAAATTCACATATACTAGCACACATCATGCACATATATATATAGACAGAGATAGATCTTGAATTAGCCGGATCCTCAGTACTCAAGGGAGCATAAGTCCGATTCGGATTCAGCAACGACGAGCTCACCAATTCAATCACCGAACCACCAGCGCTAGAACTAGTCGGTGGCGATGCCGAAACTGGCGAAGAGCTGGTAGGAGCCATCACACTTCTCAAGGATTTCCTAAAAAGCAAAGTCTGATTCCTCGACGCCATGGGAGAGGGGGAAGAGCTCGAATTCTCGCTGCAAAGAATTCCAAAACTCTTCAAAATCGACGTCCAAGGATCTGTTAAAGCCGGAGATTGAGGAAGGGAAAGTAGAATCTTGGGAGATGTTTCCAACTAAAGATTTTATTTTTCTATTTTTAAAGCCTTCAACCGTTTTAAATGTGAACCGAACCGAATCGATGTTGAACCAACTCGCCAAATGGATTTTAATTTGTACACATCAGTCTTAAATGGCAGCCACGTCAGCATTTCATTAAATTTTAACCTAATTTTTAACGACAAGGACTAAATCGTAACCAATTTTAAAGTACAGGGACTAAATCGTTATTTTTGAAAGTTCAGGGACCAAATCGTTATTTTAATAAAAGTACAGGGACCAAATGTGTTTTTTAACCGCAAAAGTTTATGTCACGCTTCAAACCATCACGTGGATGTAAAATGACACAAAACTCCTTCCTTTACTACCATGCCAGCCACAAATTTTCATTCAATTGGTTATGTTTCTTGTTTTTCAATTTCACTTTTCATTGTTATAGAAATTTTGATAACAATAGAATCATTTTTTGTTCCTATTTCCAAATTCAGGTAAAAATATTATTACAAAATTATAATAAAAAAAATCAACAGTTGCTTTATAGTTTAATCAATAAAATGATGAAAGTAAAAAAAAAAAAAAACATAATAATAAAATGGTGAAAAGATGGCAGAAACTAGAATGAAAAAAAGAATGAAAAATTAGAAGCTCATATGGTAACATTCTGTTTCTTGTTTCCTTCTTTTTACTAAATTAAAATTGCATCCAATAATGATTTCTTATTCTTTTACTTTTTATTGAAAGAAAAAGATGAAACTTTTATATATTTTTTAATCAAACCTTCAAACCAACAATGATAAAATAATATTATTTTATATTTTAAAATAAAAAGGATAACAACAAACAAAAAATTTGCTTGTATTCTTACCAAAATTTCTACTCAATTTTAAAAACATAAGAAATGAGAAACAATTATGAAAGAGCTTATATTTCTCAAAAACTGAAAGAAAAACAAAAATAAAATAAAAACATTACCAAACACATGAAACCCTAAATTACTGTCATATCAACAGTAATAATCTGACATAGCAACAAAATTGTGCCACATCAACAAGGTTATACATGTAATTATTCCAAATAAAATCCCCATTGAAAAATTCCCTTTTGAAATCAACTTCAGCCTTCTAACAACACAACAGATTTGAGTTTGCCCATCTCCAATAACATAAAGCAAACTTTACAAATCCAATGTAATATGGCCATTGTTAGTTCTGTTCAAAAACCAGAGACAACCTCCTTTTAACCGTTAAGAAAATTCTCAACCAAAACAGAACGTGCACGATAATACTTTCAGCCATGTAGAGATATACAAAAGCCCCAACCCGACCAAGAACCGCCTGCCACGTATTTCAAAGATGAACAAGTAGCTGCTAAACGAGGAGGAGGAGGAGGAGAAGAGAGAAGGCATGCTGAAGAAGCATTGTTATGCGTTTGTTTTTAATGGATGAGTTATTTGCCATTACTTTGCTTCAGAGAGAGCAAAAGGCAAGAGATACAAGCTAAGTTCTTCCATAACTAAGGCATGAGGAGGTAAAGATGTAAGAATCCTTTTAGCAACTGCCCTTCCTTTTATAATGGTAAACTACCCAGAGAAAGGGCTTCCCAAGTGATAAATTATGCTAAAAAAATTGGGGACTCAAAGAGTGTGTTCTAAATTAAGATAAAAATGGAAAAACTGCATCAACAGCCTACTTAATTACACTTCTCAACCATCTCTACAGCGATTCCAGCCTACCCGCCCTGCATCTGCATGAGAGGAGAGGATGATATATTACCTATGTACACCATCGGCACACATGGATTTTTATCTCGCTTGCACCTTTGATAAACCGTGCCGTAATCTCGAGGAGTAAGCTAAAAAATCATTTCTACCTACAACACCAAATGATTTTTGAGGTCAGTGCAAAACCAAAAGAAACACAATGATACTCCCATACTCCCCCCTCTTCGGCTTTCAAAAAAAAATCACAGTGAACTTTATATCAATTAGTTACCATTTCTAGTAATTAGGTCGTGTTTCTTCATCTTGGTCGCCAAAAGCTAGGACCTGAAATACAAAAGAACAAATAGGCTAAAGGTCGAACCCAAGCAGTTTATATTGATAAAAAGGTACTGTTCATATTGGTGAATCTTTTTGATGCTTCACCAGCGACACCATTGATCTTTTATATGGCATCATAATCATATTCTTTGGTTTATTCATAGATGAAAGAATTGTATAAATTAAATCAGTTACCTCTATTTGAAACACGCACAGGACCCTCGTAAGGTTGTCTGTAAGGCATGGAGTTTCTACTGTTTATATCTCTGGAGGGAAATCTCCACCTCTGGCTGTGTAATCTTGTTGGTTCACATGGAGTTCCACCGCAAGAGACAGGACCATAAGATGTTCTACCTCTATCGTGATAACGAGAACCTATATCAAGAAGAGGCAGGGAATCAACATTAAAATATTACAGCAAAATTAAAAGAGATACCGTGACTATGAATTACAAGTATCTATTGTATTGATCTGTCAAATATGTTACAATCTTTACCGTAGAAAGGTCGAGGGATCCTCCAGTTCTCATGTGGTTCATAAGAGTAATGTCTCGTTCTTTCATGGTCGCTGTAGAAGCTTTCGCCGTCCGTATCATCCTCATACTGGAATCTACTGGAATAAGAAGCGGGCGGATCCTCCCATCGAGGCTTCATGCGGTGATCTCCATGGACATAGGTAAACTGATCTTGAGGTGGGGGATGAGGTGGTCTTAAAGGGTAACCCTTGTTGTGAAATGCAGCAGAATCACTTCGCTGGGAATTATTCAATACTCGAGCAGGGATATTGCTGAAAGAGCGAGAAGTAGATTCAGGCATCTGCATCTGAAGATCTCTACGTTCTGAGGCCGGGTAATGAACTGCATCACTTGTTCTTTGAGTAATCCCAGATCCATTTGATGATTGAGCCACTGATTGCACCGAATTATCTTGAGCATTCTACATATTATACATTAACCACGGGGGAAGAAAGAGTTAAGAAAATAAAATGAAAATCAGAATAAATGGAGCAAATGGACAGGTGCTAACATTAGTTTCCATATAGGAACGTTCCAACTCAAAATCATTGGCACATGACTCGTTCCTGGAGAATGAAGGGGGCAGAGGCGGAGGCTGCGGAGGAGGGGAAGATGGAAGTGGTGGGCATGATGGTGGCACATCCTGAGGTAGTGGAGGAGCCATAGGTAAAGGAAAATGCTGCTCAAACTTATCAGGCACAGATTCAACGGCATTTACAACTACAGAATTAGAGGAACTCATTTCAACTTCACAAGGGGGAGCAACATCTTCCATTTCGAGCTCGCCATCAACATCTTCCAGAATATGTCTACGTTTCTCCATAACAGGAAGAGTCTCGAGTTCTTCACATCCTTGAGATGTATGCTCAGGAGTAACAGCCTCAAAGCTCCCTCCATCAGAATCACTTCCCTCGTCTTCGTCCTTAAGCATGCGAGGCATGCAAAAACCAGGTATTTGGAAACTCGAATTGCTGCAGTAGTGTAAAAATTTCAATGAACATATTCCAGCAGTTGCAGGTTATTTTAATAAAAAGACATGGTACAATTCAGACCTTCCATATTCATCAACAAGCATGCCCTCCATTTCCCTGAGAGGATCATCTAGTGACCTTTCTGTTCTGGATGAACGCCGAGAGTAGGCACCCACAGAGGATGAGCCACGGAGGGACTCAAGTTCTCGCATATGAAGACGAATTATTGATTCTGGAAGGACCCCTCTCTGTGACCAAAGCCTTAAAACCTGTAGCAGAAGATGAAATGTGAGTAAGCCAAAACATGGGTATTGAACAAAATATCATTCTAAGTACTTGGGATTATTGAGACCTTAATGCACTGTTTACGGTTTTCCTGCCCATTGATTCCGGGAGGAGCAACAGCAGACAGGAGTCGTGAGAGCACCAACTGAATGGCTGGTGGGTAAATATCAGCAAAATTGCCTAGAGAATTCACAAACAACTTCAGGTAAGGTTTGGAAAAAAAATAACATTCTTCATTAAATCATAGCATTATACTGCTAAAATGACTTGCCTTTTAGATTCTGAGAGCTCTGTGTGATTGAATCAATAAGAAAGAACAGGTCCAACTTTTTATGTAAGCTTGATTCCATGTCCAGAGTCCGAGTGAGAACTTCAACCACCTGGAAAATAATATGATCGAAACTAATTAAAGAGAAGTCCGAAATAATAACTAAACATTGAGAAAAGGCATTATTCAATAATGACCAATGGCGCAACGGAAATTTCCAACATAGTTCAACTTACTGAACAGGGAGCAAAAAGGTTCAGTCTTCTTTTCATAACAGAACGTTTCTAGGAAATCATGCTGTAAGGAAAAGAAAAAAAAGAAGCCCTGTCTCTTGACATTTGACAAGTAGTATACTATTATTCTTACTTTCTCAGCAGGTGTAGAAATACTATATCATAAGATGGTCCTATAACGGGTTATCATGTCATGTACTAGCTTTTTGGCCGTCTCTGTTTTACGATATCATGCTATACTTGTCATTACAATACAGAAAGTTAACTTCAAGGACTAAAGTAGCCATAATCATTAATAGAAAGGATTTGTTTCTTCCAAAAACAAAGCTCAATGGGTGGAGGTAATTTAAGCAATTTTCACCATTAACGTTCAAGTTGAATCAAGAAAATAAAGAAGCTGGAACCTACAAGAGAACCAAGATAGATTCCATGCTTGAATCGATGCTAAGTGTATGTAGTGTTGTACGCTCATGATTTCTTGTTAGAATACTGAATGCAGTTTCAGTCTTCATATCTCAGCACTTCTAATCAAATTTAAATAATGACGATTTCAAAGTAGAGTTAAAATAATGCAGGTGATTTTAACAATCAAAATCCAAGAAGCAGACATTCTATTTTGAGCTAAGTGTTGCCATTGAACATCTGCTCGATCACAGATACACATTGGACATACAATACACTTAGCATACAGTATAGGTCACAAATAGATATGCTTAGGACACATAAGGAACACATTTTGTAGGGACACCGAAGAAAAGGCACCAAGACATAAACAGAAATGACAAAATTAAATAAAAAAAGGAGTATTTCCATCAAGGAACTAAGCTGGCTGCTACATATGAATTAAAGCAAAAAAACCCTATGGGAAAAAAAAACTAAAAAAATAAATGCATCTCAATTCTCACCGAATAAAGAATAATTAGGTGGTATGAGGTGATAGTGATGCTCAAATGCAATTACATTTTTAATTTGAAAGACTTGAGAATACATGACTTTATAATATTATTAAAGAATAATTCACTTCACAAGATTTAAATGCTTAGAATTGAATAGTTAGGAATATATAGGTTTATATTCTCAGTTATTTTATTTTTGGTTAAAAAACACTTTTTGTCCCTATACTTTCGTTTATAACGATTTAATCTCTGTACTTTCAAATTGGTAACAATTTAGTCCTTGAACTTTAATATGTAACAATTTAGTCCTTATAATTTAAAGTTGGTTACGATTTAGTCCTTATCGTGAAACTTTTTTTTTGTTAAGTTTCTTATATATATAGATTGATAAACTAAAGAGAGACCAAATATGTTTATAAATTAGAAAGATTAAATTGTTATATGATAAAATCTAACACTCAATTTTTTAATAAATTTTGTTACGATATAGACTAAATTGTTACAAATTTTAAACTATATGGACTAAATCATTACAAGCTAAAGTTCAAGAACTAAATTGTTACTTTAATGAAAGAATAGGAACTAAATCGTTACAAACTAAATTCAAGAACTAAATTGTTACTTTAATAAAAGTACAAGGACCAAATGTGTTTTTTAACCTTTATTTTTTAATGAAAAGTCATCCGACGGCATACAAAAAGACATCCAATAATAAGGAGCCTAACCAAAAGAAATCTCAATCTAACAAGATCAAACCTAATGGATAATTACAAAAATCTTTAAACACTAAAGCCCAAAGAGAAATATGAAACCAAACAAGGGCCCGACCCTTCCCCCAAGATCTCTCCAACCCCTCTGAAAATTCTATTGTTTCTCTCATTCCACATCCCCCCAGAACAGCAAACCTCAAAAATTGCACATCCCCAAAAGTCTCCTCCAATATCAAACAACACTCTTCAAAGCGAGCACCGCTAACCCCAAAAGTTTGAAACAAAAAATCCCAAACAGATGATGCAAACTGACAAGTCAAAAGGAAGTGATTGAGATCCTTTCTTGACCCTACAAAAAATAACAGTGAACCTATCAAAAAAATTAATGTCTCATGATGCAACCCAAAGTATAAAACCGTACGATGTAAGACCTGTCATACAAAAAAATCTAATCTTCTTTGATATCTCAAGTGTCCCCACAAATCCAGGCTTTCCTCTCAGTCTCAGAAACAGGGAGATGTGCGGAATGAAAATGATGCAGTAAAATATAAATCTCCCACTTGCAAATTGCAATTAAGAATGAAAAGGCATGTAACTAAAAAGTGGAGCTACAAGAATCCAGAAAAGAGATTATAATACCTTAGGGCCAACACCCAACTTTGCACATTCAATAGCTACGCGTGTGGCTCGACCAATGCTATCTTTTGTCCTAGTCAAGTGCCCAAGCATGGCTTCGAAGGATGAAAGAGCAGCATGCGCATCCACATCCTTGCCCATAGGTTTTAATTTTTGAGTCACTGAAGATTCAAATTTAACTTCCTCTGCAGGGGCACCCAAACTTTTTTTGTGAGGACTACAACTGCTACTATTTTGTAGAAGACTACGACTATCTGAAATTGAGATACGATCAACTGAATCCAATGTAAGAGAATTTCCTGTGCCTGCAACAGACAGACTGGACCGTACTTCGGATGCATCTTTTTCAACAACATGATCACCAGAAAAAGGAGATGTTTGATTGTTCGCCAATTCTCTACCATTGACTTCTTTCACATCAAGCCTAAGACAGAAGAATAAAAAAGTTATTTAGAAAGGGCGAGCAGAGGTAACACCAATTTAATATTGAAAAGAAATGATGGAGAACTGTGTTGTTGACTACTCAAACACACCGTCCCTAGAAGACTATTGTTTTAGTATTCACTTCCCTCGGCCTCCACATTGACTGCAAAAATGATGAATCTGAGACTTACATCATAATCAGGACATACTACTAACTAGTAAGCCGCTAAAAATGGTTAAAAAAGGTAGCAATGAACAAACGGGGATGATGCAGTTTAATTATACCCCCAAGGAAAAGAAAGAGAACGTGAAGAGTTTTTTTAATCTTTAACTAAAAGGGATGTTGTGTGACAAGGAAGTATAAAATTAAATATTTTGATCTGTTTTAGATAAAAAGAAAAGATGAATGAAGCAAAACTGTCAATATGCAAAAATTCAACATCATCTTCCCTTCAAATTTATTAGCTTTTACGTATCAGGAAATTTTGCATCCTCTCCATCTTATATCTGGTTCAATATTTTCGCCACAGATGATTGGTATATAATGAGGAAAACTTCTTCCATCAGGAATGGGAAAGGGAGAAGCTGAAAAGGTGTGCCTTTTAATCTCTGAAGCACAGACATTGATTGGGAAGAAACATGACAAGTCGAAGCAATTCATGGGTATTGAAAAGCAGCAAATATGGGAACTTCAGGTAAATTTAATTCTATTAAAATTCTGCAAAACAGAGTAAAAGAGAACATGAAACAATGCTTACATGTTGTTCTCTTCACAATTGTTCACAAGTGCAGGCTTCAGGGACTCGGCTATTATTCCATGACCCTTGTCATCTCCACCACACTTCACTTCATCAGATCCATTCTGATGTGAAAGCTTAGAAATATCATTGGAACCTGCAACAAGTTCACAAACCATCCTATTACTTTCCAAAGATTCAATATGCTTGTCAGGGTTTCCAGATATGATAGCGTGTGGACCAGCAATATTGGTGTTTCCTTCATCCTCAGGAGGAAGTAACCGATCCATTTTGTCACAATTAGATCTGATACTAGCCTGTTCTCTAAAAGGAGACTCGTTTTCCACACTATTAATATGGACTAGTATTCTATCTGAATGAAAGCCTAGCTGGGAATCACGATTATCAGTGACATCAATATGTTCTCCCCCACCATCCAGTACAACATCGTCCTTGAAATCTTGTTGTTGATTCTGTAAATTTTGATCTGCTTGATGATCATATTCGACTTCTAAAGTTGTTTTTCCATTCTCTTCAGTGACTCTGTGATTCACACTGGTATAGAATCCTTGATCTTCCACTTCAGAGGGGCCATCATAAAAAGGTTTACTCTGCAGCCCTAAACAACTCTCTTTGGTTTCCATGTGCAAATGAGAGGAGCTACATGTAGAAGTTACGAGGCATCCGTTCATAGAAGTTCGCATTGATACAGTGGTTTCGGCTTCGACCTGATCTTCCTCAGCCACATTAGCTGACATGGCCTCTAAAGCACGATGGAGGCGTTTTGATGGTGGTAAAACAGATTCACCATCAACTGAGCAATAAAATGGTTGGTCTTTCTTAAAAGTACAAAGCTGAGACCGATTTCCAGAGAATTGAGTGCAAACCTTCGAAGGTGATGTGTAATTCGAAACACCATTTCCTGTATCCAAACCTCTATCAACACTACCATCAGCAGTTTTTGAATAGTCGCTGACTTTTCCAGCAAGATTGATAGCTACTACTTCCTTTTGGTTCTGTTCTTCTGTGTCTGAATGTCTTTTACATTCTTCTGAAGATGATAATTTGCTCATCCGAACTCTGGCTCGTTTCACTAATGGAAGATGTTCGTCACCATCTTCTTTGGAACATCTTTCTGTCCTATTCTCACAATCATTTTGTGAACATTGATTAGAGTTGTCCACCACAGCCTCCAAAATCTCCTCCTTGTCTTGTGTACCACCATTATCTCCAGATGCATCATTGACCACTCGTTTTCTATTCGGCTTCCTTTTTTTTCTAATGACTACAGCCTTTATCTGGAGATCAAGTCCTTTGCCAAGCTCAACATCCCTCTCCAAACACTGCACAGCAGTTTCTGAGTGTTCGAATTTACATCCAGAATCTATAGTGCTGCATTCATTCAGGCTATAGGTATCAGAGTCAGCTGTAACAATTTCAGAAGCATTGTCTTCAATGCTAACATTTGAAATTAAAGCTTCTGAAGTTGCATCATCACAGTCAGATCCATCAGGTGATTTTCTGTTTCGCTTATTCCGTCTCAATAACTCTTCAGGAATGTTATTGGCCACTATGTCCCCACTATTGAATGGGCTTGCCAGGTGTTGCAACCTGCGCGACTCCACCCTAGATGAGCTTCTAGATTTCTGGACAGGTCCATTTCTCCTTGTGACAGAGCTTTTTAATCTTGATCCTCCAGATCTTTTCCTAGAGGAGGTAGTAGCAGGAAAGGGTTGCTCAGAAAGAACAGCATCAGTAGCTTCATCCCGCAAGGCCACTTTGTCAAGCAAAGAACTGCCTTGTGCACAAGCCAACACAAATTTTATAGGAAGAACCGGTTCACTCGTGTCTCTAGAAGAAAGTGAATTATTTGACTGCAGATTGTTATTATTTGCTACAGGAGCTTCAGTTTCATCTTTTGATCCAACGTTGGCAGATGAATCTACAACACTACCACCATTTACTCGAGCTACATCTTCAGAAGAGATAATCTCATCATTATTATCGCATTCTTTTAACTTCTCATGACAATCAATGATCTCCTGTACAGCACGAACAAAATCGGCACCCTTTCCTTGGCGTTTAACCAAAAGAGATTGCTTCTTCTCTTCAGTAAATGCCTCTACGTCAGCAGGGTTACAAAAGGCTCTGCATCAAGAAATATTGATGTGAATAACATAAATTGCCAAGTTTTATCCATGTCCAAATCATTATACCTTTCAACTTGTAAGAGCAACCAAGGAAAAAGGCAAAAAAATCACAATAACTATTACTACTGCAATTCTAAGCAAGAGAATAACACCAATACTGTAAGTCCTCTTAGTCAAGGTTACAATTCTCTATAGAATTTAATAAAGTTGCATTGCCCCAATTTAAATGTTATTTTATCAGGTGCGCCTCAATTCACTCCAACGACAGCTTTTCGTCGCCTCTTGCCTTAAGGCAATAAGGAGGCTTGTCACCTTGAGGTGCGTCTTGCACTTTGAAAACACTGCCCACACATCAACACAAATATCACAAAGATACTAAAGAAGACTAACAACTTGATCCAACTAGCACTCAGCTCCTTCATAACTCTAATTTCCACCTCTTTATCCATCTTTCTGATAGACGCAAAAATATAAAAGAAGGGGGAGTCTTGTATACTTCTAAGCCCCCTTCCAGCCACAATTTTGCCTCAAAGCTTACCTTTCACAAAGATATGAGACATAATGCCAGATATAAAATTAAAAGTCCAAAAAACCACTTCTAATTGTAGCCTTTCTTCTCCAAATCTATTGAAAAGCCAAGCTTGCCGGCTGGCATTTTCTTTTCTTGTCAAAAACCTCTAAGTCTTCTTTTAATGGCATTTTGTTGATTTAAAATGACAAATTAATAGGACTTTAACCTTAAAAATTGTATCAAACGGTTCAAATATCCATGACAATTGTTTATCTTACCTTTCTGGTACACTAAAACACATTGAATACTGCCAAATTCCACCTCTTCAAGTCTGCTGCATAACAATATATTCTATATTGTTCAGCCTTACGTCTGTTAGGTCTTAAAGGCATATGAACAGAGGGTTATGAAATCACTTTGCTTGTAATTAAAAGGAAAGGAAAACAATTCCTCCCCACTAAAAAGATCGATTGCCTGTTGCCTCTATCACCATAGGCATAAGCCTCTTTTTCTTGGGCATGAGCGAAAACCTTGACGCACTTTACTGCCAACTCGCCTCAAGGCATGCCTCAAAGTACACCTCAAGGGAGTATGAAAACATTGTTTGTAATCAAGAACTAAGGTTTCTTCAAGAAAAATGAAAGCATTCAAGAAGGCTTTAAAAAAATCCAAAACCACAACAGCAATTCTACCTTGCATGCTTTCTTTTATAATAGTATACAGATCCCTTATTCCATGTGGTGTCTTACTACTGTTTTACTACTGTTTATCGCTGATTGTTCAAGATTGGAAGGCCTTACTTCATTAGTTTTGGAGGAGGCTTCCTCGTCTCCTGTCCCTAGGCTGGTTTGTGCCTCTTTTGTTGATATATATATATTATTCAATCGTTTTTTCAAAATCAAAATGGAAGCCAAATAACAGACCTAACAAGACAAAAACAAACTCGAACAAGACCAAGAAATAATTACCCTAGTTATTGATGCTCAAAGAGACACACTAAACTTGACGAATGGCCACACCTCTTCACAAGACCTCTCAGACCCTCTAAATCACCTATTCCTCCCAAGCCAAATACTCCATGAAATAGAAAAAGGACTAGCATGACAGAGAACAAAACCCTTATCACGAAAAGGTATATGAAACAGTCAAATATTCCAAAAAACAGCAAGAGGTTTACCATGCAAGAGAACACAACCCTTATCACCAAAAGATGCATGAAACAAAACCTCTCCGTCATAAGACAACAATTGCTACTACAAACCATGCAAACATCCCCCATCCCATGTTTTAAAAAGCTTTTGAGGCTTACGCCTTGAGGCTCGCCTCAAGGCAAGGCTCTAGCTTTTAGCCTCGAGACTTACGCCTTCTTTGAACCATAAGAGGCTTACGCCTCTCATAGAAGAGGCTTACGCCTCTTTGAAGACACACTGAGGCTTAAAGTCTTTACGCCTCGTGTAATGATTAGAACAATTTTTGTAATTTGCCCAATTCTTACAAAATATAAAGGTTTCTTTGCATATGGAATAGGTGTGGCGATGATTCAATCTATCACTACTTTTACTAATTGGACTTTAAAAACATTGGAGACAAATTTTATAGAATAAGTCAATCATATTAGTGATAATAGTACTAGTGATAATAGTAGCGATATTAGTAGTGATATTGAGGATCTTCTTTTAGGATTTTTATTTAAGTGGTAACTAACAGGTGATTTTTTTATACTTTTATATAACTATTATATTTAGCAATACTTGATCATACAAATTTTAGATTTGTATAATTTTTTAATTAAAATTGAGGCTTACGCCTCATACCGCCTCGAGGCTTACGCCTCACCTATTCAAGAGGAAAAGCCTCGAGGCAGCTTTTAGCCTTTTAAAACATTGCCCCCACCTCCAATAAAAAAAAAAAAATAGGGCATCAAGAAAGCAAACTTGCATCTCCAGAGGATGTGATCCAGATCCCCATCCCTATATAAATTCACTAATGCGACCTCAACAAGAAGGATGAATGCCTCAAAGTATGGATTCATAGTACCATAGGGTTGCAATCAGGTGGGAGCTTTTCAATTTTGATTTCAAGTGATAGCTTTTTTTAGACTTTTCTGGAATCTGTGATCTTGAACTATACTTTATCTCATTGAATTAATTCTCCGGTTCCAAAAAAAAAAAAAGTATGGTTCATAGTATCGACCCTCCTATGTAAGATTCGTCGAACAAAGAATTTGACCTTCTTGGAGATTTTAGTCTTCCACAATGACAATCGAGGGTTTCCAAAGTATAAGGGCTATTGAAAATGAGGAGAGAACAACAAAATAACCCAGAGGGACTAGGGGACCAGAAATGAGTATCCTTACCACACAAATGGAGATGGAAGTCTCCAAGTAAGGAAAGAAGAACAAACATGTCCAACATCTCATCCAATATAGGACGATGAAAACCAAAGTTAAACAAATAAGAATTAGGCAAAGGAACAAAATTCAAGGTTCCAAGGAGGCTATCACCCACCAGCAATCATCCATAAACTGAGTGTTCAAGCCATCCCCAACAAAGCACTCTAAAAAATTAGGAGATTGTTTTAACACTGACAAGTTCAAAGCTTCATAACAGTGTGATCTCACCGATCTATTCGTTAATTGTTCTCCTAGTATGATTTTTATGAATTGGGACGCCTTTATAACTCCTATGTTTTGATTCTCTTTGGGTTTCTATTTTATCTCTTTTCATTTTTCTTTTCACTCCACTGGGTGTTTGTATATTTGAATAATTTTTGTTCATTTTCATCTATCAATGAATAGTTTGTATCTTGTTAAAAAAATAACTTTGACAATCACATTTTCCTAGCTTGTATTTGATTTTTCAAGCAAATATGCTTCTTTTGATGAGGATTTCATAGGCATGAACTTCCCTCTTTAATACATTACAAGGAATAAATCTCCACTGGGATTATAATGGATAGTAGTATTTGGACTTTAAACTCCTTTGGAGCCATCTCCTCCAAATCTCTTTTTAACCGTTGGGTGTCTCTCATGGTAAGTGCCTTCCCACATTAGATTCTAATCTATGGAGTTGAAAATTGTGGAGAAAATTAAATTTCTTGCTTAGCAAGTTTTTTTATACCAAATGAGTGTCCAGAAACTTTTGACATTATCAAACAAACTTATAGAATTTTAAATCTTAGATAGATGCCCATTGTGGTTCAAAGTTTGAACTCGTTCCTTCTAAGCCCATCGGTTTTTCACCGACTCTTGGCAAGATTAATACCAATAAAATCATCCAAATGTTTTCTTCTATAGCTTGTGTGTTTTATGCAAGCAAGCTTCTAGAGAGATATAAGTCATCTATGGCATTGGCTTTTCGTTTCTCATTTGCTCTTCCCTGAAGTTGCTTGAAAGATAAGAGTTTTTTTCAGAATGCCTTTATAGAGGTTCAATTCAATTTTTGTATAAGAAAAAAAGTATACCTTCAGAAAAGAACAAAACAGCCTAAGAGCAGGGTTGAGATTTGAGAAAGCCCCCACCCAGGAAACTAGAACATTAAGGCTTTTCAATCATGGAGGATAATTGATAAGCTGTAATTACATCCCTCCCGGGCTTAAGCACGAGGCGCAAAGAGAAGCACCGAACTTTTTTTAACCGCATTACATTAAAAAAAATACATAAATATATATGTAGAGTACATAAACATAATAATAAACATCCATGGGAAGAAATGAAGATGAGAGATAGAGTTGAAGGTGTGAGATAGAAAGAGTCAATAGTGTTGAGATAGTGAGAAAGAAAATTACACAAAGAACTTGAGTGATATGGAGAGAAAGAACCTAAGTGAGATGGAGAGAGAGACAGAGAGGGGCAGGTCGTGGGTTGGGAGAGAGAGCTTACCTTACTCAACATTTTGAAACAAAGAAGGAGATGAAACATGAAGAAGAAGAGTCATGGAGATGAAAAAATCACTAAATGCAAACGGATTATTGAGTTTAGGTACTGCCATAATGGGCATCGTGTTGGCCTGCCAGAGATGGAGAAAAAAAACTAAATACAAGGGTTTTTTCATTTAAGGGCACAATTTTTTTAATAAAAAAAAATTCAACAGAGAAGTCTTGAAGGTGCACATCTTTGCACCTCACAGCCTCAAGGGACAGACATGCACTTATAGCATACCTCCTAACCTCGCCTCACCTATTCAAAGCAAGGCGCTAGTGTTGCACCTAAGAGGCTCCTAGTGGGCTTTTCATAACACTATTTTTGGGGAACTCGTGACTGAAGATGTTTGGAATTTTTCTTGGAATGGAAATGGATGCCACCCCCATCGTCATTTGGTGATCTGGGATCGAGTCTCATTACCGAAAAATTATGGTGGCTTAGTCTTGGGTGGTTTTCAAAGGAAAAAACAATGCCCATCTTCAAAAGTGACTGTGGCGCTTCACTCAAGAAGGCAACCCTCCGTGGAAGCGAGTGATAACAAGCATTTATGGCACGGAGAATCATGGTTGGCTGCCTCAACCGCCCAAAGGAAGCAGTAGAGGAAGACCTTTGGGTGGCCATTGAGCAGCAAAGACATTCTTTCATGAGCTTTCTCTCTTTTAAAGTCCATAGAATCAAGTTTTGGAAGGACAATTGGCTCGGCAACATGCCTTTTGAAATTAATTTCCGGACTTTGTACCATATTTCCATGAAGAAAGAATGCATGGTGGCTGATTGCTGGGAAGTGAACAGGGAGATTGGAACCTAGGCTTCAGAAGAGGTATCTTAGATCGAGAGGTGCAAGGCTGGATCCATTTGGTGGAGCTCCTGAATTCTTTTTGTTGGGGAAATGGTGAGACGAGGTGGAATGGGCTTTGAATGGTGAGAAGAGATTTACTACCAAGTCTTCCTTTTTGAAATTATCTGAAGTTACTCCTAAGCTTAAAGCTCCTCTCATTAAAAAGATTTGGAACTTTAATTGCACAAAGAAAGTGAAGGTGTTCCTGTGGAGCATGGCCTATAGAAGCATCAACACCCACGAAAACCTACAGAAAAAACTGCAGAACTGGGCTTTATCCCCCTCGGCATGCCCGCTTTGTCTTAGTAGTGGAGAATCAACGGACCACATTTTCCTTCATTACCAGTTTGCAACAAGAGGATGGTCCTTTTTATTGAAGGAATGTGGGCTGTACGGATGTTTACCTCGGATGATAGATGATTGGCACTTAGAAATTGTTCAAGGAGTTGTGCTAGCCGAGCTCTTATTTGGTGTATTTCAAGGAAAGAAACTAAAGAGTTTTCAACAATACCTCCACCCCTTTTGAAATTTTTTGTGAAAATGTACAAATTACAACAGCCTCTTGGTGCCTCACAAATAGGAGATTCTTTTGTAATTACTCTCTCGAGATTGGAAAGCTGTAATGTATTAGCTCTTTAGGGGAGGGCCACCTTGGCCCCCGCCCTTAGGTTGTTGCACCCTTTTTTGTCATTAATACATATTGTTTCTTATCAAAAAAAAAATAATAATAAAAAAAAAAGATGCTCAAATCATTGATGATTACATCCTATACGAACTAGCCATATATGTTGTTTAGACAAATAAGGCTTCAAAATTATTTTTTATATATGTTGATTAAACAAATGGGTGCATTACCCAGCTAATATAATCTTGTTAAACTTGATCAGGCTACAATCAAGATTTCCTTGCCTGTCCAAACAAGAACTAACTACAAGTTCAACTTCAATAAATCATGGCATAGTCATACAAATCAATCAATTAGCTCCTTGAACAAGAAAGAACTACTTGAAAAATATGGAAGCTTCGGTGGGAGGAACTAACGTAGTAACGTCAATGTTCTCAAATATGGTTGCCTTGCATAACCTTGTGATAAGACAAGGACTAACTACCAAATCTCTTGGCCTCAAACATAATATGACAATCATAGAAGGAAAGTAAACACACAATAAAATAGGTCAAGTTGCCTAGAAATCATATAATACACTACCAAATTTTTATTTTTTAAGATTGTTACATTGAAGGTTTTGGGATCACACGAAAGGGAAAAAAAAAAAGAAAAAAGTTGCTTCTTGCATGTTCTAGATTGTGGTTACAACTTCCTCAAAGTGTTAATGCAATATTATTTATTATTAAAAAAAAGATGTTTTAGAATCCATTCAATATTTGTAATCTTAAATTTTAGGAATCCACTGTCGAGCCAAATATTAGTGATGCAGTGAGTTTGGTTTTATATTAGTTTGTTAGTTAGGTTGGCTCCTTTTAAATAGCCAACCCTTTCCTTTGTAAAAATAAGAATCTGAATAAAGAATTTCTTCAAGAAATTGGTTTACACCAAATTGGTATCAGAGCCCTCGAAAAATCATAGGACCTGATGGCCGGCAAGAACACAGCGATTCCGGCAAGGGACCCATGGTGGATCCCGATACCTCTCAACCTTTATCACCTAAATCTACCACCAACCTTTTGCTGTTGATGGAGGATGTTGATGGAGGATTCTTTAGGTGAAGTTCGGTCTAGCATCCACAACATCCATGAACTTGTGGGGAACTTAGGCCGCCAACTGGAACTTATATCAATAAAGCAAGAACGTCTTCGATTGGACCTGGGTAACAGAAACAATGAAGAACACGGCGACCAACGCCAGAATCGACCAAGAAACAAATTGCGCACTCCGTAAACAGCAAGAAACGTGGGAGGCCATGAACGTCGTCGCCAAGATTTGCAATTATGTATTCAAGATTCGGATTTTTCTAATGACGAAGGGGATTTTGTTCAAGAGTGGGAGGTTCAAGAACAAGAATTCAATCGACGAATCGTTATTGAGATGTTTGGATCAAGAATTTCACAAGAATTGTCAAGATGAGCTAATGGAAGGGAGAATCTTCTACTGACCTCTGACTTTTTCCAAGAAAAACTCTCTCAGATAAGTTCAATCAACATAGAAGATGAATTTCTTTTGAGTTTTTCTGATTATTTCGATGGAGATGAAATTTTATTTTGTTTGGAGAAACTTTTCACTAACACTGTAGAATTTGATAAAGATCCTAAAGAAAAGCATGTGGCTAAAGTTGAGAAAGGCATGGTTGAAGCTGATATTATTGAAGTTAGAAAAACTGGAGAAAGTTCAATTTACCAACCTCAAGAATTCGAATCTGATTCGTTGCATGAAGGTCATGCTGTGATTGAATTGCGATTAATTTCTTTGAAGAACCAAGATCTTGCTAGAAAAGAATTGGGTTCTTTACAAATTAGTAATATAACTAGAGGAAGTGAAGAAGTTATGGGTCGACTGCTGAATTCTTTGTGTGATTTTGCACTCAGTTGGATGATTAACACACTGCTTTATTGGTGTTTTGACGAATTGAAGACAATATTTTCAGTTGAAGTATATTTGAATCACAAAAGGAATAGAGATTCAGTTCTGAAAGTTTGCTTACTTCCTCCTATTTTGATTCCTTTTAAACTCGAGGACGAGTTTTTCTTTTAAGAGGGAAGGAAACTGATGCAGTGAGTTCGGTTTTATATTAGTTTGTTAGTTAGGTTGTTAGGTTGGCTCCTTATAAATAGCCAACCCTTTCCTTTGAAAAATCAGAATCTGAATAGAGAATTTCTTCAAGAAATTGGTTTACACCAATTAGGGTCAACTCAAGCCTAGTCAAACACCTAATGAAAGGTTGGTTTGAATACCTAGTTCTTGAGAACAAATCCAAACCCCTAGAGGCCTTCACTTATTTTGTTTTGTTATGGGATAATCTAACTTGCCTAACAAGCGATCCCAAGGAGTTGTCCTCTTAAAATGCCACAGGAATTTCTACTTGTCTAGCGTGAAATGCTGAAAAACCACTCATAAAGAATATGCAAAATAAATAGTTGGAAACTTCTTAATCTTGTGGTTCAATGAAAATTACACGTCCATATTTGTCCTCCCAAAGAGTATAATTAGTTGGAGCATTAGACGAGACAATAGAAAGAACGAAAGAGAAGTGCCACTTCGAACACCTTGAGCAAGTTCAATTTAATGATGATCCATTATCCTAGAAGAATGACAACAAAAAACCATCAAAAAACCATCAAGGTCATCACTCACTCCATCATTCTATTCCCCAAAAGAACATGTGCAACGTCAGTAACAAGAGGCAAGATCAAGTTCAAAACTAAACATCCTACGTTAAACTTGTTACAATCTCCATCTTTACTAACCTACTTCACTCCTACTATCTCCAACTCATCTCCTCCTTGTCAACTAACAACTCGTATTCCCCTTTCAGCCAAATCTGCCCTTCCCTAATTAACACTTATAACCTATGCTTTTTTCTCCTCCAATCTCATGACAAAGTGGTTATTGGTCCAAACCTTGCAATCCAATATTGTGTGTTGGGCTCCCCATCACAAGATAGTAAAGGGTCAACGCACATCATTCGATGATGAACATATACAAAAGGGTAGCTAATTAGAACTTGCATGACTAGCAATAAAGCAGAAAAGTATAAATATTGAGGCCACCCAGCAAACACAATGATTCAGCAACTTCCCCAAAAATATAAAAATAAAAAATAAAAATTTAATTTCAACGGTAGCAAAATTATAAACTATAAAGAAATTTGCTAAAATCAGTACAAAGTTCCAAAGAAATTTGAGTCAGAAGTATCTAGAGTGTGTTGAGTACTCACATCTGCTGGGTCCCGAAGAAGTAAACAAGAACTTTCTTCCAATCGGCTGAGTAACCCCATTTCTCTGGCTCGCTCACCTGTCATCAAAATCAGTTTGCTGAGCACGTTTAAATTGTACATGAAAACACTAAATCTACAATCTTTTCTTTGATAACTACTAAAACTGGCCAGAAAGATTAGAAAACGTCTGATCCATAAATATTGACAGAAAAGAAGCGAAGCGAAGCGGCAGGGTGGAAATTAGCAACACAAAATTGCTCGTTCTGAATTCACAGTAAGGTTTCATGTGATGATTCACTTCCAACATCTTTACCAGGTTTGTTACCTTGGGGGTAAACTTTAAGTTGTAACAAATATCAGTACATCTACTATTTATCAAAAGCAAAGAGTAAAACAGTCAAGAAGAGCCAAAAAAACGCAAATTTCCAAATCTTGTAGATTTCATTCAGTTTCACAATCATATCCACTTCCCAATAACCCGTCAAAAGATTATAAACCAGAAAGTCGACGTTTCCCTCAAATCTGTGAACTTGAATTGCAAAAGCTTCCGAATTGAGCAAAGAAAACCCATCAAATATCCATAAAGGTAAAATCTTTTCTCAATCAGAACCACCGCAATCTTCCCAAACAATCACCGACGCTGTGCCAGACCACACATCATTCCAAAAAGCAAACACCTTAAAAAACATGCAAAATCCAAAACCCTCACTTAAAGCACGAAAGAAACCACTACCCCCATCCCAAAAAAAAAAAAAAGAACAAAGTTCAATCAACTAAATAATACCGTAGCAGGCCAAGCCGGGAATCCTTTCACTTTAGCCAGCACGAGATCCCCTACTTTCCACTGCCGGCGCGAGGCGGCAGCAACAGCGGCTTTACCAGCACCCTTTCTCCGACTCGGCGCCATAGCAACAACCGCAGGGGGCTTCGATTGAACAAAGAAACCCACTATTTGAACTCAATTGGAAGCACAAAACCCCCAACAAGCAGAAATAGCCCGAAGAATTGGAAGTCGTTGCACCGACAAAAGAACTTCAAGTAATCAACAGACATTGGAAAGAAAATCAGTCCGATATAGAAGCTTCCAGTGATGGGAAGACGAAGTAAATTAGTTCCAGCAAACCCTAAAATCCCACAGCAAGAGAGAGAAAGAGAGAGAAGCGAAGAAGGAAAAAAAAAACCAGACTGTAGAGTTTTTTTGTTCGTGGAAGGAGCGCTTTCACACAGAGAGATATGAGTTGGTTAGGTGAGCGAGAATCTAAAATACACCGAGCGTATAATAGAACTATTTTCACTAGTTGTTCTAACGTGCGCTTCGTTGAATGAATTAATATCTTGCTTTCTTATGCCGTGTGAATAACACGTGACCCACCAATCAATCATTCGGCACCAGGCCCGGCCCATACTTGCCAGGTTTTTGGGTGGGCCGCCTTCTGAATGATTCAGTGGCCCAATGGCCCACAGGAGGAAATAGTATGGGGGAAAATTGCATTTTTACCCCTTTTTTTCCAATTTGGATGAATCTGTAATTTTATTTTCAGCTAGGTTTTTGTAAGAATAATTTTTTAAGACTGTGCTATAAATTTGATGGAGTTTTGAAAAAAAAATGATACTATTGATTTCATACCTATATTATATTGTGTCTTAGTTAGTATCTTTAGTTTAGATAAATTAACGATTAATGGGTCAATGTTACGAAAGTTTGACAAAATATAAAAATTGCAATACTTATGAAAATTGATTCACTCTACCAAGTTTAAGAGTAATTTTTTTTTTTTTCAAATATTGTCACGTCGGTTTTGATTTGAGGTTACTTTAAAACATACGCATAAACAATTTGCAAAGTATTATAAAAAATTGTGACAATTTTATTAATAGAGCATTCCATTTATAATAAAAAGACTATTGTTATTGTTTTATATATTGTTAAGTGGTTAAGGCGTGACAACTTTTTTTTATCTATAACTTCAAACTTATCAATCGAAAATCAATTAAACGCTACTTGAAAATGAAAATACACTTCTGCTTATAAATTTGTTCTCATTGAACCATTTGTATCCATATATATTATAATTTCAATTCATGGATCTCTCCATTCTAAAAATCAAAATTGAACTATTTCTTCTGACCTTTTTTCAAATTTAATAAATGTTGGTTGATCGTATATTTCATAAATTACAGCGTATATATATATTTTTTACTTTTCTATTTTTTGTCGAACATATCATTTAATTTTGGTTGCCTTAGAGTGAGAATTGCCTATGACCATTTTATTTTATTTTATTTTTTAGAGTAACCTATATTTTTTCAATATTATTAAAAATGCATACGTTAGGGAGAAAAGAAAAATCATTGGCCATTGCTATTGGAACAAGGATCATGCTTCGAAAGAGAGTGACATGCCGACACTTGTACCTACAAATTCTAGAAAATTCCTTAAAAAAGAAAAAATCAATTTTTATCTTATGCTTAATTATATGTTCCAATAATATTTGAAAATCTAGATGTTGTGGGAAGATTCAAATTTTTGACTTTAGACGGTAAATAATGTCTTTATCAACTATGCTTATGTTAACAATTGAAAAAAAAATCTCGAAAAAAAAAGGTATAGTATAAATTTATATGAAATATCATACAAAAAAAGTATATAACATTTTTAGAATATTACTATTTAAAAAAGAACGTAGGTATATGTATAAGTGATTCGGCCATCTTTACAAATATATATCATTTATTCTAAACATAAATTTTAGTTCGATTCTTAAATATTTACATGTTCATGTTTCCTCATTTTTTTAATAAAGAAAAATAGAATTGCATAATTCCAACATTTATATATTCATAAATGATAAAACAATATTTTTACTTATATTTTTGGAACAAATTGGAAATAGAAACAATAAATAAAAAACTTGTTTGTATTGTTTTCAACATTTCTATACAAATTTAAGAATGTTTTAAAATAGTTATCGAATAGTACTTAGGTTTCTTAATAAAATTGAAAACGATAAACAAGAAACATGAATATTACAAAACTGAGTCCTTAGAGACTAATTTTTAGCAATGCAAAACAAAGTTTTCGCTAAAATTAGATTTTCAACGCCACAAAGTTTAAATGTGGCCAAAAAATAACTATTATCAATGCATTTTAAAAAACAGTCACTAATAATTTAAGATCTTTTAGCAACACTTTAAAACGTCACTAAATTGCCAAAGCGAGCATAGCTCAGCAGTAATTGGCATATACCTCCAACCGAGTGGTTGTGAGTTCGAATCCCTTCCCCAACATGTTGTATTAAAAAAAAACGTCACTAAATTTGAGTAAGTATCACAAAATGTAGTGTATATATGTGATTTATTTTTTTAATATATTTTTTTCCTCAATTTTTCCATAATTGGATTTGAAGATGGTTAGTACGAAAAGTCAAACCAACCAATCGAAATCAACCAAACTAAAGTCGATCGATCAGTTGGTTCTGAAATTTCAAAACCGACCACTCAGTCAGTTAGCAGCAACGAACCCCTAAAAACCAATTAACTGATGATATAATAATATAAAAAATATTAATATATTGTTTTATTTATTTTTTTAGTTTTAGCCTAGGGTTTCTTTATTTTCGAATTTCCATTTTGATATGCAAACAGGCATGAGTAGGCATGAGTAGCATACCTTCTCTCCCTCTCTTATCTTTGTAGTGCTGCAACACTCTCCCTCCTGCAGCTCTTATGTGAAAACCGACGGACCGAACCAACCAGTCAATTAATCGGCGCAATAGAGCTTAAAAGAAAAATATGTAGGTTAGTTTTCCATGTCGATTTTGGCCACAAATCGACCTCGACTGACCGCTACTCACCCCTAGTGGTTAGAAGGATTTGATCAAAACATTTTTTAAGAAAAACAATATATGAAAATGGGGATTCAACCCCTCAAACTTTTAGTTGAGATTGTATGTCTTAATGAGTTGAACTATGCTTAGTTTGACAATACTGTTAATAATTTCTTTTATATATTTATTAATATAAATAACAATCTTTTTATTCTTATTTAAATTCTATCAGGTTTATTAATATGTTTATTTGATGTAGTTTGGGTTTTCCTACCTATTCCTTCCACTTAATATATTAATTATATATGTATTTCACACTTTTTTTTAAGAAAGTGTATTTCACTCTTTGGTACATTGTTTTCCAAATTTACTAGTAATTTCATTTTCTTTGAAGTTTAGGAGTTATGGTTCAATTTCTAGGTTTTCGTTTCTGCATAATTAATGTTTAAATTTTGTTTTAATAAAATATTAAAATTAAATTACAAATTTAGTGGATTAAGAGTTATATTAAATATAGGTTTATAAACTTCTAAAAGTAATAAATAGGTCACTGAATTTTAAATTTTGTGTCATAATCGTTAATTCCGTCAAACTTCATTAGTTATTTATGCAGTGGTGCTAACTACAACTTTAATCCTTAAAGTTTCAAAATTATGTCTAATACGTCCTTGAACTTTTAATATTATATCTAACCGGTTATCAAACTTTCAATTTTGTATCTAATAAGTCTATACCATACCTGATATCCTTACTTACTCATTCCTTTTTTCTTCTCTCCCCTTTCTTTCCTACTTTCGTTTTGATTTATTTTGGTTTGATTACCTTACGTTTGCCTATCTCGAAATTTTTTCCCTATAACCCACGTCAATTTCCTTCACTCATTAGCTAGTCCCAAGCTTTAGAAAAGGTGCACTAAATCTACCCATTTGCCCACCCAAATTTCGACTTCTAATTTTAATTTATTTGATTCTCTATCTTTTCAAAAGGTTCAAAATGTCATTTAATCTCTTTACTCTCAACTTTTATTTATACTTTTAAAATTTTCGTTTCTTTAGTATAGTAAGTGGAAGTGGGGGATTGAACTCATAACCTCTTTATTGGAGATATATTTCAATAACTAAGTTAGGCTCACTTTGACTTTAAAATATTTGTTTTGAGTCTTATACTTTTCAAATATAACTATTTTAATCTTTATTTGCAAAATTCGAATACAATGAAACCCTTAAATACAAATTTATAAGTACATCTAAATAAATTTAATGAGTAAGTACCCTACCAAAATTTTGATCGATAAAAATAAAAATGAACTAAAATTGTCAATTTTTAAAGAGCGACATAAGTATATAAATGAAAATAAAGAAAATTTGAAAATATAAAAACAAAAATCCACGTTTTAAAAGTAGAGTAAAATTAACCAAAGTATTGGGACAAAAGGGAAAAAAAAGTATTAAAACCAAATTAAAAATTTATCTATAATTTAACAAATCCTGAAATGGTTGAAATCTCCCTATTACCCCGTCAAAGTCCGCGATGAATGAACTGTGGAAAAGTTGAAATGAGTTGAAGATTCTTGCCCTTCATCGTTTCGGCCGCCACCACTGTTGACTCCCGCTGCAGCCACCGCGCGCCGCCTCCACCATTTTATACTTTTCTGCTGCAACTCAATTTAAAAATTTATCGAGTAAATATTTAGTTCAATATAAAATGAGATTGATTAGTTGATTAATATTTTTATCATAAATTTTATAGAATTAGTATTTTATGTATTGTAATTAAAAAAAATTAATTTATAATATGAAAGAGTATATTTATCAAAATTTTTATATATTGAAAAACCTTTTTCAGAAACAAAACTTTTAAAAAGATATTTATTCAATTTGTTTGATTTAATGAATTTGAAAACAAAAAATAGAATATGGATTACCTACCAAACTAACCATATTTCTTGCCAATCTCTAATTCAACGGTCATCTATGTTGAAGTTGTGAATTTTATTAGATGGATGTTGACGCATTAGATAAAGATGTGAATGAACGTTTAGTTGGGTATTATCATTTGCGACTCTTTAGGGAATATTTTGGCTTTAGCCAAATGTTTTTTTCGTTTGATCTGTTCAGTAGAGTTTACTATAATAGTGTACTATTTGTTTGTAGTTTTAGTATCAGTTAGCATTTATGGTTATATAGTCTATTATTATCAAATCTATAGCTTATAAATAGTCACGTATGCTTATTTTATTAAAGAAACACACCTTATTTCTCAATTGAGATTGTTACATGATATTAGTGCCAGGTTTAACTCACGTCATCAATCTTCTTCTCCACGTGTTCATTGTTTAGCTTATTATTCTCTTACAGTACTGTACTTCCATGGCGGAATCTCTTACCACTAAGGATCTTGCTTCTCTAATCTTTCTTTTATCCAACATATGTAATCTGGTGTCAATCCGCCTAAATTCCTCTAATTTTGTTCTGTGGAAGTTTCAATTAATATCAATTTTGAAGGCTCATAAACTATTTGGTTTCATTGATGGATTTGCAAGGAACCAGAGTCTTCTCCTGCAACTTCGTCTTCCTTGGAATCTGCTACAACTCCGACTACAAATCCGGCTTATGAAAACTAGATTGCTAAGGATCATGCTCTCATGACCTTAACAAATGCAACTGTCCCGCCTATAGCCCTATCATATGTTGTTGGCTGCCATACTTCGAAAGAAATTTGGGCAACTCTCGTAAAGCATTACTCCTCAAATTCACAAACAAATATCGTGAATCTCAAATCTAATCTGCAAGCTATAATGAAGAAGTCTATAGAAATTATTCATCAGTTTATTCAGCACGTCAAGGAAATTAAAGATAAGTTGGCGAACATTTATGTTGTTGTTGATGATGAAGACCTAATCATTTACACCTTGAATGGTCTCCGTGCTGAATACAATACCTTTAGAACTTCTATCCGCACTCGATCTTTACCAGTTTTGTTTGATGACCTTCACGTTCTTCTTGTATCAGAAGAAGTTGCAATTAACAAGCAGTCTAAATGCAATGATGCCTTTTCGTCACCAACTGCACTTCTTACTAATCATCTCTCATCTCATAATTAGAACACTAGTCCTAATCTTGGTCGTGGTCGAGGTTCTTCTGGAAAAATCAAATCATTCAATCGTAATAAACAACCAAATTTTGATTTTTCCACTTGCAAACGTGGTTTTCCCCCAAACCAATTGCCTCTTCTTGCTGCGCCTGGTAAATCAAACTCTTATGGTTCTTTTCAACGCCTTGTCTATCAGATTTGTCAACGAGTTGGGCACACTGCTCTTGACTGCTTTAATAGAATGAACTATAGCTATCAAGGAAGACATTTAACTACTCAGTTGATTGCTATTGTGGCCAGTCAAAATTATGCACACCTTGCTTAGGGATGCAAAAAAACTTGCGGGACTCGATCCCCGTAGGTATCCGACCCGATCGGGTCGGGGAATCCCCGGTTTGACTGCGGACGGGGTCAAATCGAGGTCCTCGGTGGAGACGAGGAGAAGATGGGGAGGATTCCCCGCTCCGTCCCCGTCCTCGCCCCGTTTAATATTTTATTACTTTTTCTATTTTTTTATATAATAATATTAATCTATATTAATTTTATAAATACTTTTTAATTTAAGAAAAAACTCAAAACTAATATTCCATTTAGCTACTTTTTGTTTACTTTTTATATTAGAAATAAAAAAATTGATTAAAAAAATATATATTTATAACGGGGAAGACCCATCCCTGTTATAAATATATTTTTTAATTGCACAGGGAACTCGTCCTCAATCGAGGAATCCCTACCTCCGAAATTTGGGAGACGGGGGCAGGGATGGAGATGGCCTCGCCCCGCCCCGTTGCCATCCCTAACCTTCCTGCTGTCAATTCTAATTCTTCATGGTGGGTAGATTCTTGCTTCAATGCTCATGTCACTACCGACTCAAGTCAGTTCACCAATGCTACTAATGCTACTGAATATTCTGGGGAAGATCATATTAGTGTAGGGAGTGGTCAATCTCTTCCAATCTCTCACAGGTTATGGTACAATCTATACTCCCTCCTATGTTCTATTTTTATCAAATCTTCTTCGTGTTCTTACTATATCTTCCAATCTACTTTCGGTTCATCGTCTATGTGTCGATAATAATTATGTCAGTATTTTTTTACTCTACTCACTTCTGTGTTCAAGACAAGTCTTCGGGCAAGATCCTCTACCAAGGCCCTAGTATAAATGATCTTTACCCAATTCAATCTCTTGCTCCTCCAAATTCTTCTTTGGTACCCAAATCTCTAGTTGCTCATATTGGTACAAGGGTTTCCTTGTCATTGTGGCATTGTGGCATAACCGCTTAGGACATCCTAATATCTCTATTCTTAATAATGTGTTTCATTGTCTGAACTTGTCTCCTTGTGATTCTTCAACTTGCATTTGTGAACACTGCTTGTATGGAAAAATACACAAATTGCCCTTTTCCAGTTTCTAATTATGTTTCATTGTATCCTTTTGAGCTAATTCATGCTGATGTATGTGGTCCTACCCCTAAAATTTTTATCAATGGTTTTCGGTACTATGTTTCATTTGTTGATGATTACTCAAAGTACAGTTTTATCCTCTAGCTCTTAAATCTGATGTCACCACCGTCTTCCACAAATATAAACTGCTTGTAGAGAATTTGTTCAATAGTCTGATTAAAATTCTACGTACTGATGGTGGTGGAGAGTTTATTAACCACTCTCTTAGTTCTTTTCTCCAAAACATGGCATCTTTCATAAAAAAATCTTGTGCCTATACTCCTCAACAAAATGACGTAATTTAAAGAAAGCATTGCCACATTGTTGAAATGACATTAACCCTTATGTCTTGTGCCTCTTTACCTATTAAATTTTGGCCCTCTGCCTTTGCTATTGCTGTCTTTATCATCAATCGTCTCCCTTCTTCCATTCTTGGTCGAAAATCTTCATGTGAACTTTTTTTTAAAAAATTCTTGACTATTCGTTCTTTAAAAGATTTGGTTGTGTTTGTTATCCTCTTCTCAAGCCTTACAATTCTCATAAACTTGAATCAAAGTCTTCTAGGTGTGTCTTTTTTGGTTATCCACTAGACTAAAGGGGTGTTTTGTTACAATATGAGCACCGATCGCCTTTATATCACACATCATGTTGTCTTTGATGAAAATTTGTTTTCCTTTTCCTCTTCAATAACCTTGCATGCTCCCTCCTCTTTCACAAACTCTTCCTAATCCCTCTCTTCCTTTTCTTTCTCTTTTGTTATCTTCAAATTCTTCTTCATTACATTCCTCACATGTCCCACATTCTGTAGAGACACTTGATGACGTTGAATCTTCACCCAATTCTGCTTCTTCTCCTAATATGGTTGTATATGGTGATGATGTACCTATTAATGTTGCTATATCTACTACTCATACTTTTTTTTAATACTGTTGATATATCACTTGTTGCATCTGTTACTGATTTCTTGGTTCCTGATGCACCTGTTGTTGATAGAGTATCACATATGCCTCTTGATATTTCTAATATGCCTTGTAATGTTGGAGTATCCCATATACCTCCTGCTACTACTACTGGCATTACTATTAGACCTTCAAATTCATACTCAATGCAAACACGCAGCAAATCTAGCATTTTTAAAAAGAAGCTACATTTGACAGCCGTTACTACAGAGTGGATTTTGTTAAAACATTCACTCAAGTGGTTAAGAAACCTACAGTTCGTGTTATTATATCCTTAGCAGCTCAATTTAGTTGGCAACTTCGCCAACTTGATGTAAAAAATGTCTTTCTTTATGGAGAGCTTCAATAGGAAGTGTACATGCAACAATCTCAAGGTTTCGTTGATCCTAACTATCTCACATATGTGTGCAGAACTTATTAAGTCTTTGTATGGACTCAAACAAGCACCTCGTGTTTGGTTTGATTGTTTCACCTCTCATCTTTTAACACTTGGTTTCGTGGCTTCTTCTACTGATGCATCATTGTTTGTTCGGTCTTTGGATGAGTCTCTTACTTGATGGGAACGTAAATCCTGCAGCGGAAACGACGATCTTGTTCTTGAGTTTTTAGGAACAAAAACCACAAACGAAAAAGAAAATGCAGGGGAAACCGGAACTTACTTTTGAAGACTTTCTTCATAATCATCGGTAAGTCCGTTTAACACCACCAAAAAGATCTTCCTTACTATCCTCTGAGTACCAAGCTCTTGTTTATGGGAGCAAAGATTGGAAGCCAAGAGAATTGTTATGTGTCTTGTTTTGAGAGAAAACACCCATAGGAAAGAAATGCAGGGAGGAACCTAAAATTACAGAACGGTTATGTAATTCGCCAACAACCTATGGGGGTTACCCTACGTAATGTACAACTCCCCACTCCCCTGAAATTTTGGAGGGGAGTTGTTTTTTTTAATAATTAAATTAATAATAATAATAATAATAATTAATATATATATATATTAATTAATATTAAATTATTAATTATTAATCTAATTAACAATTAATTAATTAATTAATTATATATTAATCAAATAAATAATTAACATTTAATTATTTATTACACAAATAGAATCATATTCTAAAGCATTTCTTTCGTATAACCTATATTTGTAATGTACATCTTATGCACATTATTTTTAACCTATAGATTTAATATGAATCATATTCATATTAATTTTTATTTGAATCTCATTCAAATAATTTCTTTCATAATATATAGTTTTAATTTAAAATAAACTATAGATGATAATGTATCAATATACATAATCCCTTGAGTAATTTAAACATTTCAAATTCTTCCAAAGAAACTTGATTCTCGTTTTACCCGTTGTAAGCTACTAAGATGACTTAATAGACCTACAGATCAGAAGCTCCAACGATGCGAGATTAATCGGTCAAACTCATTAATCGAGTTAATCAACATTCGTTAACTACGGGTCACTCCACTAAAGACCCGTAGTTGCACTCTTCTCACTGTAGAATGTTTTCGTGTCCATAGATATACGACCATTAATGACAAGTCAATCCTTCACGAGTGCTCGTAACGCAAGTTGTGTCAAATTACCATTTTACCCCTGAGTTACATCTTACTCCTTAAATACCACTGCTCCTTTAATGAACAATCTGGTTATGGTCGGACCAATAACCGAAAGTCCTTATCGGGCCAATGAGAGGGTGGGTCCCCTTGTTCAAGTCCCAGAGTCAGCATTTAAGAGAATACTCGTCTACTCCCCTAAGGTCGGGGAGGAGTGAATTTCATCTTGTGAAGTTATGTTCCCAGCTCCCCAATCGATCTCGTCCCCAAAATGGTAGGAATGTTGAGTCGGCGTCTCGGGCCACTCTCACCCTTATAGATTGAAGGGCGAACCCTCACGGGCAAGAGTCCGTAACTCACTCAGGATTGAGAATGAGTTGTCTGGTCATCCTATGAAATAGCAATCTGTTAGTCAACGACATTACATCTAAAGATTGACTATTTCACGGTCCGGTCTTATACAAACTCATTGTATAGGATACCCCTACTTGTATGTCTCCACACGAACGACCTGGATCGGGTCGTCTGTAACATTTAAAAAGTGGGTCGTATCCATAGTGTTGCTAGAATAAGGTACCAGTCTTATCTATATACTATAGACCCTTTAGGTTATTCCCAGGATATTATCTACTTGTAAATCGATGGTATATCAAATATATACCCAGTATATATACTGTCCGAGTTACATGACAATAACCTTGGATGTTTAGTTTGTTGGATTTAGACAATGCATTGCTATAAATTCAACAACAAATTGACTGAATAAAACTTTGTTGAATAAAAATTTGATTTTACATAAATACAAACTACGAGTTTAGGGCAACATACCCAACATTATTTAATTATTGCTTTATGTTGATGATATAACAATTAAGGGGAATAGTCAACTATACATTCATTCTCTTGTCTCTCAACTTAAGAGCAGATTTGACACTGATTTAGACGATTTGAAGTATTTTTTAGGTCTTGAAGTCTGTCACTAGTGCTGGAATTTTTGTAAATTAGGCCATGTATGTTAGATATATTTTGGTACGTTATGGAATGATAGTTGTTAAGTCCTGCTCAACACCTATGTGTTTACCGAATCTGTCTGATACGGGGGTCAGCCTTACTCTACTGATGATGTTCGCAATTATAGAGGCTTAATTGGTTCTCTTCATTATCTTACCTTTACCCATCCCAACATTCCCTTTGTTGTTGGCAAGTTATCTCAGTTCATGCATGCTCCTCTTGATATTCATTTGACAGCTGCTAAACATATTTTAAGATACCTTAATGGTATTTCCAGTTTTGGCCTTTGTTTTCGAAAAAACAGTACTGATTTTCTTCGACTTCATGCCTTTTCCGACTCTTACTAGGCAGGAGATAGTGTTGACAAGCGTTCTACATCTGGGTTTGTTGTATTTCTTGGATCTAATCTGGTTTCTTAGGGATCTAAGAAACAAACAACGGTGTCCAGAAGTTCTACTGAGGCTGAGTATTGTTCACTTGCTTCTACAGCTGCTGAATTGTTTTGGCTTCGTCAACTAATTAAAGATCTTCATGTTTTTAGTACTAAACCCCCCTTGTTATGGTGTGATAACATATCTGCCATCCAATTGGCTTGGAATCATGTTTTTCATGGCAGAACAAAATATGTCGAGGTTGACTTTCACTTTATTCTAGAACGTGTTGTTCGGCACGATATTATTCTTCAGTTTTTTCCAACAACTCATCGACTTGTTGACTTGTTTACTAAATCACACACCAGTGATCGTTTGCACTTCTTTTGGTCCAAACTTCTGCTTCAGCCAACATCTATTTGAAGGGGGATAATAGTGCAATATCTGTTTGTATTATTAAAACTACTTCTTGTTAAATAGTGTAACAAGTATTCGTTAGCAGAATAACCATTTATGGTTATATAGTTTATTATTATCAAATATGTAACCTATAAATAGTCCTGTATGATTATTTTATTAATCAAGAAGCACACTTTATTTCTCGATTGAGATTGTTACATGCTAAAGTTTTAGTACTAAGGGAGGCATAGACTTAGCAAGGGAGCTAGGCATTCACTCGATTTAGACATAAATCGACTATTCAACGTTCATAATCTGATAAAAAGGAAAGATTATTGTGTTAATGAAATCCAACCTCTCATCGTTGAAATCATAAATCAATGGAGAATAAAGGAATTTGAGGCCTAACACTTGCCTCTCGAGTCTGAAACGAGGTGGGAAATTCCCTTAAACTGCACATAAAGGTCTAGATATATGTCAATTATCGTTGAGCTATGCTCGCTTTGACGAATTGATTTCGTTCTTACATCTTAGTAAACACCATCAAAATGAATAAACAATTACCTTCTCATTTTTTTCAAGTAAATAGGCTCTTGGAACATAGCTAAACGGTAATTGGCATCCACTATTTCTAAGATTGGAGGTTGAAACCCCCATGCTCCCAATTTGTTGTACTTAAAAAAAAAGTAAACAAACTCTTCATTTTTCAATATTGAGGTTGTTACATCTTTAACATACATGATTATTCATATCCATTCTTTCTCCCATTGATCAATGGTATAAGTCATTTACTTATTAGTTGTTATTTTGACACAAATTTTTTTGATTCTTAAAAAAAACAGTTTGAGAAGGTTCAATTGTCTGAAATGAATTTCTAAATCTGCAGATTTATCAACATCAAGTTCGTAAACAAAATCTAACTCTTGTTGGCAATTCTATAATTGTATGATAAAAAAAATTATGAAAAACTTTTTCTTTGTTTTTGCTTATATTCTTTTCTACCGTATTTTCGGGAATGACTTGTACCGTACTAATAGTTATAGTATGGAGGTTGTGAGGAAGACTATTTTACCTCTTCTTTATTTTTTTGTTTTTTACAATGCAAATAGGAGAGATATTGAGATATTGGAAGTTCAAATCCTTACAACTCACCTTTCATTTATTGTACTAAAAAATATATCATTCTTTCATTTATTTTTCTTTTGAGTTGCCTACCATTTTTGAATTTAATTTTAGTTATAAAATATTAAGTAAAATAGATTCGAACTCACACGACCTTTCAGTTGGACATTCATAAAAATGACCAAAATAAGAGACATGTTTCACCATCGCTATAAATTCAACAAAATGGTTACTATCTTAAACTAGAAGCAATCACTTCAACAAACTTGGACTTTCTTGAATTATTGTTTTGATAAATTAATGAATATTGTTTTAACAAAAAAGTTTACAAAACATTAAAATCTTCGAGAACACTCGAAGACGATTGGTGATCCTACAAAAACAAGAAGTTAAAACTCGGAAACTCTTATCCGTACAAGATTCTTAAATGTAAAATCTCAAATAGAAATGTCTTTTACCTCCTTCGTATTGTTTTTGGGTATTTATTTGAAAGGTTGGATAACCGTTTGAGTTGTGTTTCTCACCCTATAGTTATCTTTGAGATTCTAGGCGAGAAATACGCGGTGAGGTGGAGGTACAGTTAAACAGTTACCTTTCAAACGTTAGGAATCAATTCGGTAACAATATTGCAAAGTTGATCAAGTTCGATAGTTTGTCGCTCATTATTTCCCAAACTCACCTCGTGGGAATCATTCATAAGATCAAACCATCAATCTGATGATCATGTCTCTTCTGATGAAATTCAGTCTTCATCAAATATAATAAATCATTATTATAAAGTGTTACGCGATTGAATCCGGCCAAGGAAATGGGCCTCTACAGACCATAGAGGCCCAAACCCTACGATAGACCAAGCGAGTCGGGGCTCGGTCCCGACCCCGACTTGACGTCGACCAGGGCTCGACCCGTTGGCTGAGCCCACTTTCTCTCCTCTCCCGTTGGTTGAGGTACTCCGGTCCACGAATCCTTGTGATCCAGTGACGACAGATAGATGGGCTCAACGAGAAGGTTCCAGAAGGCAAGACTCCTATAAATGGAACCACTGGCTGAACCCTAGAAGTAAGTAAATAAACCCTAAGTACTTCACTTAGTAATTCTCCCATCGCTGACTTAAGTATCGGAGCCAGTGTGACTGAAGTCACACTGGGCTAGGATTGTTCGGTTTTATAGGTATCCAGTCCCGTAATCATTGAGCTTGGTGCACATTTGGCAAGAACCAAGGAGACCAAAATTCCAGCATCAACATAAAGATATTTGTAAAAGGACTAATCCAAGTTCTCATTATGAACTTATAATGCATTGAAAATATATGTATGTGTGTGTATATATATTATAATGCATAGTTGTGTTATTTATTACAACTTATTGTCTTTGCAACCACTTTAATTTGGAGACTAATAATTATTTTTAGTTTTTAGTGGAAGAAATATATTTTTAGTAGAAAATGTTATTTGAATAAATAATATAAACAAAAATTATTAATATTCGCTAACAATCTCAACATTCCTTTAGAATATTATCTTAGCCTAACTTTAAGATTGTAGGCTTAAAAAAGAAAAAGAAAAAAAAATGTCAAGATATGATCATTAAATATATATATATATCTTTTTAAATATTTACTAACACGAGCTTAACATGACATTAATTAGCACCTATATTTGATCAAGAGCTCATGAGTTCGAATGCTCAACTCATTTGTTGTACTAAAAAAATACCTTGAATGCTACCAGTATGAGTATAGCTCAATCGGTTAAGACACTTACCTCCAACTAAAAGGCACACAGTCGAAGCTTACAATTCATAGAATCGGAAATGTACTTGAATCAATTAGTGTGGATTACATCACTTAACTTTGGTTGATTTTTTGAATATATTGTAGTACTTTGTTTTTGGATGGGTTTGTTTCAAATATATATATACTTTTCTATCTTCCTATAGTATTTTTGTATAAATTGTTGTGGAACTCATTAGGGATATATTCAAATATATGGAAATCTAAATTTCTTCTTCCTCATCTCTCACACAAAGTTTCGAGGTAAAGTCTCTATTTTATACCGTGAGTTATGGCGTCGATGTGATTATATACTCTAAATCGATGTCATATGGTCTTTCTAGTTTATTGGGATTGATTTCTGTAAAATTGGTGGTAGTAGGTTAGGTATTTCAAAATTTCGGAGTTGGTATTTGCAATGGATTCAGATTCTCGGGGCGATTTCGTGCGAAGTGGGTTAGGGCTTCGATTATTGAGAGACTGAACAATTATCGATAGTTTTTAGGCGAAGTAGGTTAGGGTTTTCAAATTTTTGAGTTGGGCTCTAGGAATATGAATAATTCTTGGTGGATTTCGGGCGAAGAAGGTTAGGGTTTCAACGTTTTGGAGTGGGTTTTAGAAATGGGCAAGAATTCTCGTGGTCTTTCGAGTGAAGAAGGTTAGGGATTTGGAAGATTTTTATGATGTGCTTAAATTCTGGCGGCATTTCGAACGTGAGTGATATTTTTTTGGAATGAATCTTCTGTGGGAATTCTCGGGGCATTTCGGGCGAAGTGGGTTAGAACTCAAATCTTTAACATTCTTGTAGGTGGGCTTTTAGGTTGTGGAATAATTCTCGGCGCCCGTTCTCGCCCGAGAATTCAGCCGAGAAATTTTACAGTATTATACTTCGAGCGAAGTACATTTAATATTGTAAAATTCTCGTGCATGACTTCGCCCGAGAATTGAACCGAGAAATATGACAGGATTATGTTTTACATCTTTTTTTTTGTTGGTTAAAGGAATGGTTGGTTATTAGTACATGTATGTCTTATCTATGTTTCTGATCATTGGATCCTTTATTTACTCATCTTCAAGTTAATTCAAAATGGAAATGGTACCTAAAATCCTCCTTCATCCTATGCCTCCGCCAACTTAACATGTCTGTCGCACCTAGCGAAGACTACTGCAACCATTAAGAGTAAATTGACCCCACCACAGCTTAGGATGTTTAGGAAAACTGTATACGGAAACTCGGGAAGAGTTCAGGCAGAAATAGATGGTGAAAACCTCTTTGGAAACTATTAGTAAAGCGTGCCATATATATTGAGGGACTCCATATCATTCATTATTAAAGYGAAAGCGACAACGTAACCTTAATGAAAATCGATAAACGGGAATGCGTTTCATAATAATGAGCCCGAGACAGTGGAATATCCTGACTATATCCTAATCTCCACCCATTTTTTGCCCTGCCACCACTTCCTCATCAAAGACCAAGACCAAGTATTACCAATTCCCATCGAGAAAGCAAGCAATCTCCACTGGAGCGGGAATAACTAGAAAAGTAACCGTCAACCGGTTATCCAACTCGTTCGTACCTTTTGTAACCTCGTTGGATTGGATTCGTCTCCGTCTCAACTCTCTTCCCTTCACCACTTTCTTCACTTGGACCTCGTATTTAACGGACCATTGATACACAACATCCTACTTAGGGAGATTGAGGATAGTACATCTGACACCATTAGCTTCAACTTGTTTGGGAGTAAGGTGTCATTTGGGCGGAGAGAGTTTGACATTATTTCTCGCCTTAAATATGATAGGAGTCCAGTTAGAAAAGACACATCTCCCTATAGACTTAGGGCTCTCTACTTTAATGATAGCAAAGACATACTGTTGAATGAGTTTGAGAAGATTTATGTAGCCGCACTGTTCGAGGATGACTTCGACGCCATCAAGGTATTTATTGTGTATTTAGTAGCGTTAGTTCTGTTGGGGAGAGAGGACCCTAAAGTATGGTTATCCTTGCTGGGAATAGTCGATGATTGGAAAACTTGCTGAAACCACAACTGAGGCATGCTGTCGTTTGATAAGACTATATATAGTCTAAAGCGTGGCCCGACGAAGAGGTCGAAGGATGGCGGGTTCAAGAAATCGTACAATTTCTACGGTTTCCCTTGGGCGTTCCAGGTATGAGCATAAATACTTATTTTCAGTTTTCGTTCTTTCAATTAACGTCCACCACTTATATGTACAGGTGTGGGCGTACAAGACTATATCTTCCCTGTCTGGGCGTGGGGCCAATAATGTAAATCTGGACGCCATGCCACGT